TTTTTTATGTCAAATAGTTTTTGAGTTGTGTGGGTTTTTGTTAAAAAAACGAAAAGTGGTCTAAGTTACCCCGCCGGTCTAAGTTACCCCATTTTACGGTAGCGCACTACTGCCCTGGCTGCCCACCTCTGTGTATTCACTTGTTCTAATATGTGGCAAGAGATATAAAGCCATCCTGATATTAGGTGCTGTACCATCAAACAGGGTAATAAGGGATGGTTTTGAGCGTTTTTCCCTTATAACTTCTCACCATGAAACATTTCATAAACAAGTTTTGGCTCAGTTTAAAGGTATTTGTGAGGGCTATTGTATGGCATCTTTGAAAAAATTCCATATGCAATTTGTAACGAGCCAGATGCGAAATAAAAGCCTCATGAACTAACCCTGGGAATGGGGTAATAATGGCCACTTGAAATAAAACTTAATTTTAAAATGTTTGAAATATGCAGTGTTCTCATCCATTACTAACAGTAATCTGAAGTCTTCCTCTTCCTTTGTAGATGATGTAGATGTAGAACAAATGATATATTCTGTGATTTTTACTTGTTTTTCCTTTCTTGATATGATATTACCTCTTCCATACATTACAGTATTATTGATGTCATATTACCTAATCCATGGACATGCCATTTAGCATTGACAACAACCTTGTCCACAGCAAGCTTCATATCAGCAGCCATGTAGCATTTCTTCTTTAGGTAAGCTTACAGGATGGCTTGTAATTTTGCACCATATTAATTGAGTCAAGTGAATTCACTATAACAAAAAAGATTGTAAAAACATACCTGAAACACAAAGGAATAATTTAGTGACAACCCATTATATTTTTTGAGAAAAAAATCATAGTTTAGGTTAATAACTTTACATTCAATGTTGCCTGGTTAAAATTCTATCTATGACATTCTATGCACAGTTGGGTGATGACCGATAATGCACTAATTTTTTGTCAAGTGAAGTTTTTTTGCTGAGCGAGGTAAATCTAATCAAAATTCTTTGCTGTTAATTGATTTTCTTAGAACTGGAGCCTTTGCTAACCAAGGCTCTACTGTAACTGCGTTTTTAGGGGTGGGTGTCCCTTATTACCCTGGGGGGTGTCCCTTATTACCCCATCGTGTGGAAATGGCTACCATTTTCTTTCTGGAATGCGATATGCTAATTCTGTCAATCACATTTTGAAGGGGAGCATCTAGGTGGAAAATCGACGGTATTGGCTTTCCCGGTGTTTAGTCTTATCTTAAAGCTGACATTCTTAGCTATCCAATGTTACCAACACCATCTCTGTACATTGATTTATGCAATCACAACACATCCCGTAAGGGAGGGGGTTTTGGAGTTCTATAACAAATAAGATAGGGGGAAATTAGCTGCCAAGCACTTAAGTAGAGTGTTAGCTTGAGCTGCAGTTCAGTTACCCGCCTGGCGTTGTACAGGGTGGTGTGCATGCAGTCACTCCCACCATCCTTGACTGGAATCAAGCTCCAGTAACATTTAGTTTCATATCCTTGCTACATTGAGTACCTATTGCGATGCAGGCGGGTTTTTGTTGCGCTCTCCTGAACATTCATACCTATTGTCACGGCAAACCTATCTCCTGCTAGAGTTTTGAAGCTACAGCGATGAGACATATACCATTTGATTCGCAATTAAAATATCTAGAAATGGTAAGTTTTTTTCAGTTTTGTTATGGTTTTGAAAATATTTTGAAAGGGGGGAGGGAATTTTTTAATTTTGAAAGGGGGAAAATCTAAAATTTTTGAAAATTTTGCAAAAAATTCTACCCCCATCCACAAAAATTCAAAATTCAAAACAAGCTACAACAAATCGATAGATATGGTCCTTACTCATCAAATGATATGCACCTTGATGTTGTAGCATCAAAGTCCTAAGAGGAGATAGACTTCTGTAGTAATCCCTTTGTAGCCATTTTCCAAGAATTTCATGTTTTCTTTCATTTTTTTTAAATTTACATGAACAAAAAAGTCTTAGAATTCCATTTCACGTAGGTGTACAAAGTTTCAAAGTGATCCATCCATAAATAAAAAGTTTTTTCACCACATAGATGCTCCCCTTAAGCCAACACCTGTGTGCAACTTTAATGTAAGTACAATTTTTTAATACGGTTAATATTTTTTTTTTCTACAGACCTTAGCAGAGGTAATTTTCCAAAATCTCACTTTTCACACTTTTTTCAAGGATTTTTTGAGGTAGTTAATGTATGATGAAAGGTGGTAAATGTATGATTTCTTAACTTGTTTTATGCTACATAGATAGTAAAAATGTTTAACTTTATGCCACTATTTTTAGTTTTGCAATATTTCAATTAGTTTAGCTGCTACAACATTCCTACAAAATGTTGGACTGTTCCTTATTACTCCGCCTGTCCTTATTACCGTAAAATGGGGTTACTTTGACCGGCGGGGTAACTTTGACCACTTTTCGTTTTTTTAACAAAAACCCCTAAAACTCAAAAATGATTACTTTTTTTGACATTACATCAAAACTATGAGAGGCAGGAGCCAGCAATTTATGGTGAGTAAAGCTAGAGTATAGACCTGTATTTTGCATGTTTCAATTTAAGTTTAACTTATCTAGTAAAAAAATGGCATCATTTTGAAATAAAAAAGTGGTCAAAGTTACCCCAGTTTACGGTACCCTGTTTGAGGGTACTCCTTGAACTGATCCACATATTTGGTCTATTGTTTAGGCCAGCTTCAGAGGGTTTAGCTTGGCTAAGATAATATTTTCATCTAGGCTTCTGACATGGGCCTTTCTTGTTGATGGGGGTAGATTCTGTATTATGCTTTTACTGGATAGGTCTGCATGTACTGAGTTTCTTTTCTTTCCAGTGCTGTTGATGGGTAGTCTGGTTGCTTATGCTGAACTTTGGTCCTGGTTGTCCTGCTCTACCATTAATTCTATGTTAGCTTGCAAGGATGGTAAAGTAGCTAAGGGTGGTGGTACTTCTTGTTGGCTTAAAGCATTATTTTTTGAGTTTACTGGATATGAACTTGCTGTTTCAGTAGCTTCTAGCTGTGGGCAGGGTTTTTTATGGATTTGCCAGCCGTGATTCAATTTCTTTGAGCTGTGATTCCATTTTTCCAAGCTGTGAATTCCGTACCTCAGTCATGAAGAGCCATTCACAAGGCATGAATTGATTTACAAAGTCCATGCAGGTGTTACCTCAAATCTCTAACTTTACCCTAAAACAGTCAAAACAACAACAATAACATTTGTCTTTACTGTAGGCTGAACATGTGTTAATGCAGCCTGACATGACTGCAACTATGAACCAAATGAACGATCTTCAACAAAACATTTAGGTTGACCTGTTTACATTACGATGATTATGTTTTGCAGGACATTTTGGCGGGAATGGTAAAGCAATAGTGCAGATTGCATAAGCGGAAAATTTTATGAAATGATAGGCTTGCAAAGTGCTAACAACAATTTTTCAATCAAACAAAAATTTATGACATTTGAGCCATGAGATTTCACACCAACTGGAATTATATGATATTAGAGCCAAGATGTTTAAGAAAAAAAAAACTTTTCCAGCTCTGCCAGCAGTTAAGTCAGATTTTGATGAGCTGGCATTAGGCATGGAATATATCTACTTGGCAAGCTGTGACTGAATTTTTGGAGCCGTGGTTTTATGGATTTGCCAGCCATGATTCCATTTCTTTGAGCTGTGATTTAATTTTTTTGAGACATTAATTCCATATTCCAGCCGTAATAAGCATTTAGGAGCAGGCAGCCATGAACTTTTTACCAAGTCCCTTGCATGTGTTACCCCTAATCTCTAATTTTACCCTAAAAACAATTAATGCTAACATTTGTCTTCACTTGAGTGGCAACTATTCATGAGATAATGCAGTCTGACCGCTCAGACATGACCGCAAACACACAATCTGTAGGGAAACGTTTTAGGTTGACTTGTTTCATATTGTTGTGCAAGATATTTTGGCGGGATTGTTGAAATAGTGCAGATTGCAGAAGTTTGAAATTTTATAAAATGACGTGTGTGCAGAGTGCAAACTGCAATTTTTTCAATCAAACAAAAATACATGACATTAGAGCTGCAAGATTTCATACCTACTAAACTGAAATTAAATTATATTAGAGCTGCAATATTTCAGAAAAAATAGGACTTTTACAGGTCTGGCTAGCACTAATTGATAAAACTCCTGCAGGATTTGAGTCTATCCCTTGACCGTCTATCCCTCCCGCAGCACTGAGCGCAGCCTTGCGGGTTGCCTCATCCCCAACTCAGTACCGTGACATTGAGCTGAGCGCTTCACGATATTTTTGCAAAAAATAGCACAAAAAACAATAACTGATTTCGTGTTGATTAAGGGGAACCCCCTCCCCCACTTATCATGACTGTTAACGGTCAGGACTAACCACTCATAATTATTTATTAATATTATTAGTTATTTAAACGGAGACTGACCAGTGTTGCTAGCCAAACGTTTCTGGGAAAAATGCCAGGGGTGAGAGCATCCAGAGGGACATGACATTAATGACCAGTCACCAGTGTTGCTAGGATGCTAGCCAAAAATTTCCGGGAAAAGTGCCAGAGGGATTTTGTTTTTGTGCGTGAGTAGATACACGGCTGGCTTAAATTAAGTTACCCATATATCAGTTTATATCTAGAATAATGTACAAAGTCCTGACATTTCCATTAAAATAGTTTAAAAAATTAAATCTGGTATACAAATCAATACAAATGTCAAAATAAATCACTACAAATGCAGGATTTGAGTCTATCCCTTGACAAACAAATCAATAATTATCATTCATCAAGCAATGAAGAAGCTCTACTGTCTCTACATGAATTAAATCATTGTTATGACAGAAATAAATTTAAATTAGAAAGAAAAATTGTATTTTAGATATAATACCTCTTAGGTTGAACATTTATTTTATTTAGGAATATCTGAGCTGTTTTCATCAGTGTCACTAATGGATGCGGGTCAACCAGCGGCCAGCGCTATACTTACGGGCTACGGCCATCGTAGAACTGCAGGATGTTGAACTTACAATCCTGGTACGGACTGGTAGAAATAGAACTGACGATCGTTTATAGATCTTAGGAATTAGGATCGCTGTTATATACGCGGCCAGCGTACTCAAGACAAGAGTTAAATATGATATAATAGTAAATCATAAGACCACTGTTCAAAATACGATAGTCGTAGAATTTATCTACATGACATAGTGATGTCGGGGCTGAAGTGTACCTAGGCCTAGGCCTGATGTGCCCATGTGGCCTGTCGGCGACAGGCTGTCGCCGATTCTTGTCCTTTTCGTGCCTTGTTCACAGAAGATCTAAAATCGTGTCATTTGACCGGATCTTTTAAAAGTATTTATGTTCGTCAGTACTTATAACGCAACTGTTTTTCAAGCTGAATAGCTGAGCTGAAAACCGCCGTACAACTTACGACCACCTTCTTCTTCTTCTTCTTGTTACTTCTTATAGGAGCACTGGAAACTGGTCCATTTAGCCCCTTGCCTAAACAGTTTTTGGTTTACGCCTAACTATCATTTAGTAACAATCTAAGTATCTAATAATCTGAAAGAATCTGCAAGAAAAAAACACACACACACACACACAAAACAAGAAAAAAAAAATACAAATAAAACATTGTGCCCAAAGTTTTGACACTTGTAGCACTGCCATGGGTCAGCTACAAAAGGGTTAACTTTGAACCGCTGATATCCAACATAGAGGTATGCAGGTAAAGTGCTAGAGGGGAAATTGATCTTGAACATAGAAGTCCGAATTTGTTGTTTTCCTTTTAGTATTCACTCTGCGCTTACATCCTTGTGCCCTGCTTCCTTGAGAGCAGCTGTTAGTTCCTCATCAGATATGTCCTCTCCAAATGGCCCAATGACTCCAGAACACATTGTCTGGTTCAGAGGAAGACGACACTTCACACTCCATGAGCCAAGTTTATTTACACGTAGAAGTTGGTTCAGATCATTAGGGGCATCCTCTTTCAAAGTCACTACAAGGAGCTGGCGTCTGGAGTTCTTGTTAAAGTGGCTAATGCCCACTTGACCAAATGGTGATTTAGCCAGAGCTGTGCTAATAGCAATATCATTAGAGAAGAACTTACTCAATGGGCGAGTGCCAGGGCCATCAGGATCTGCAACAGGTTCTATTATAATTACTTTATTGTTAGAGTCAGGATGATTTGGGATTGGCATGGATGCGTGTTGCTGAGATTCAAATTTATCATTGGCATTCAGAAGGTTGTTGTTATAGCTTTCCAGCCTAGGTAGGAAGCCCTCAAATGTATCTGTGTCGACAGTGTCGTTAACATGTAAGTCGTCCATGTCATGTACCTCAACCTCTGGCTCTGCACTAGGTAGGACAGTGTCATTGGGGCTGAGAGGCGGCATTTGAGACCAGGTCGGTATTGCACTTCCAGAGAGATTAGGCTTAGAGAGTGATGCAGATTGAGAGTTGGTCTCGGAGCAGTCAGATGATACTGAAGCAGTATCACCCTGTTCCTTTTTCCTGCGTTTGGGCATTTTATCCGTTTTTTGTTTAATTTGACGGATTCAACTATTAATGCAATGAAAAATTCAACTATCAATGCAATAATCTCAATTAACTATTCGTCGTCAGATGTCGATAAATGGGCAGAAAAACTTACACACGTCCGTTGTCGTCCGTAGCTTCAACCGGCCCTTACGACCACCGCGACTGCGGCAGTTTCATCCGCGTTGTGACGCACGCGTTACAAGGTATTAACACGTGATTCACGGAACACATCCGCCTAACGTAGGATATACTCACTCATATAGGATAATGTATAGGATAGGACGTAGGATAAGATATATTATCCTATGTTCAACCCACAAGATCTGGCACTACACAACCTGCCGATGTAGGGTTTATTCAACACATAGTCAACCCACTGGTAATCCCGCTACTTGTTTTGTGTCCACTTGTAATCCCGCTACTCGCGCTGTTGTGTTCAGTGATAATCCCGCTACATTTGACCTTATAATGAGTTTAGGACTTCTTAGTTTTAGGACTTCTTAGTTTTAGCCGTTTCTAAATTGGATTAGTATTAATAAGTTTTTAAATTCACTTTAATGTCAACAACCACCCGGCCAGAACTGTAGCAGGTAGCTGAGATCGAACACGCAGCTCATCGCTCCAATCTTGGTACTCTGAACTGCGCATGTATCCACATGGGTCACCCGATCCAATATTCCATCTTCCTTTGTCTCTCTTTTCTTTGTCCTGGTAGAAAATTATGCTTGGTCACTCACAACACCCAAATTTACAGGAAAATGGTTAATGTGTGATGGAAGAAATGCCTTTTCAAGCTCATTAGGCAACCTGTGGCTTGAATCGCTATCAACTATCTTCCGACGATTATTATGTATACGGGATTTTGTGATTACTTAAAAATTTATCCACAACCGCATTAAATGCATTCCTCGCTACTTCTTCATGATTTGGCATAGATGTCGTGATGTCATGTCAGACATAATTCTTATGATGTAGCTATGGACCGAAAAACACACCTTCTGCTAATTTTACCTTCAAGATGGTTGAAATTTTCGTGACAAGTATTTAAAACACTCTCATCCTTGAAGTAATTTCACAAATTGCCTCAAAGGCCCCTATTTTCTGAGTAGAGGTGATAAAAAACTATTATATGTTATCAAAATTCTCATATGACATTTTTTCATGGACCGTGAACCAGACTTGACAGACGCTTTTTTCTGAAAAAAATCCGTGATTTAGTTTTATTTCAATTGCGTTGGCCAGCTAAAATTTATGACAGGGTACTTTCTAATTAAATTTAAAAAACTGCAAAAAATGGAATTTTTACACCGAAGCCTACAAATATACTAGTATATATTGTGTTATAGGCGTTTTTTGTTCGCGGACTTGTCCGTTTTTAGGTCACCTGGCAACCCTGCTGTGAACACCCTCGGTTGTTCACAATTTTTCTGGTCCAATGTTATTCTGTGGGTCTCAACTATCGCACTGACACAACAACTAAGGTATTTCGTATTTGTGATACCCAGTGTGTTGCTCGGGCAGCATGCACAATACTACTGAGTCCCGGACTACTTGCCAATAGTGGTTTTTATATTTTAGTTTATGAAGTATAAATTCCAAGTTTTCGTAGGTTTCCTTAGCCCTCTACCGCCGTATGTCACTCTCCGGGAACATAACTTTCAACTTAAATTATGCGTAAACTACTGAGTGCAGCAACATGAGGACGTTTGTACGCAACAGAGAACATTTTAAAGTTGTCGTACGTGGCGGCAACCATCAGTGCAAGTCATTTAGCGCTCACTAGAACCTATCCTTTGCGGGAAGTAGGCGCGAGACAATATTTCTCCGGTTACTCATGTCAGGCGGCAGAGGCTTAAGGTGCACGGAATCGCCTAAGGAATTGAAGCGTAAAAACCACTGTTGTGGAGTAAACCAACTTCAAGATTTTTCTTTTAGAGTATTATTAACGGACGCCATTACGCATGATCATATTGGATTTAGAATTTTCTCTTGGACGGAGTAAGGAACGAAGTCTTTTTCACGACGTCAGAACTGAGCATGACACTATCGGCATCAATATTTATATTCCTCCTTTTGCAGGAACATTCAAGTTACCAAATCATTTGTCTCATCCTGGCAAAACTACTTTCGTCTTGTGTCAACTTCGCAGCTCAAACTTGATTTATCACCTTCCTCAGGCACGACTTCTCCATAAACGCGTTCAAGAACAGACTAGATAAAGCTATGGAGAAATATATGTTCAGACTTGAAATGCCTAGCTCCTTATCGAACCCGGTGGAAGTCTAGTCGCTTCTTCAAACTATCGTCAGTCATGAAAAGATCCGGTCAAATGACACGATTTTAGATCTTCTGTGAACAAGGCACGAAAAGAATCGGCGACAGGCCACATCAGGCCTACACTTCAGCGCCGACATCACTATGTTATGTTATGATAATCGGAGATTATCATAACATAACAAAGTGATTATTCAATAATCTTAATCATATAATTATGATTAAGATATTAATTATAAATTATTATAATATATATAAATTAATCATATAATTATAATTTCAATAATCATCTTAATAGTTGGGTGGGGTATATCTGTAAAATGGGAACTGAGACGAATGGGCGATTGAAGAATTGGGTATGAAATATATTGCTTAAATTTTGAATGATTACCTTTATCATTGCATGAACAAAAGTTACATTGTCATTGTGGTTCTTGCACCTCCGCCACCTCATATGAATCCGGTAACTGAATGCATTTTTTACGAGTATCATACCACTAAGCTTCATGCTGGTCTCCAAGCTTTAATTCAATGTACGTAAAGTATAATTTGTTCACAAACTCTGTAGTATTAAGATTCTGCTTCATCGCTGTACATTCACTAGAGATGTAACAGAAACTAATAAGACGTTGAGAGTGAGGCACGAAACACCAGGGATGCCAGATAGCTTAAAAAATTAGATCAGTGCTCACTGCAGTGAGTGACAGAGAGCGCATTTTCTCGTCCGTCCGTGACGTCACGGACAGACAGACGGCAATGCCGGACAAAATGCGCTAAAAAGGCCAAGTCCGCGGACAAAAAGGCCTATAATTCGATATTTACGAGTAAATTTATAGGTTCCAGTGCAAAAAAAAATAAATTTCATTTTTCGTAGTTTTAAAATTTAATAAGGGAGTGCGCCACCAAATTTTTTTTCCGGCCAATGCAATAGAAAAAACAAAATAGCGGAATTTGTCCAGCACTTACGCGTTAAGCTCTTGAATGCACCTACGCTAACCCATGCAAGTCCTGAGCAACATTACTGAACATGGTTGGATTGCTAACGCTTGGTTACTGATTGCAGGGGGAACCATTGAAAACGTATGAATAGTATTCGTCCATGACGAATACTATTTTCTCCTAAAACTCTAGTATTAACTTTGCAAGCGAATAAATGTTTGTAGAGATGAAATATATAATGCATATTTATTTATATGGTGCATGACCCGTTAAACGCCATTTATAATACTTATAACTGATAGTAGATAGTATCAACGATACTGTGATGATAATGACCAACACCATCACTGATGACGGAACAGCTAGTGTATCGTCTTATATATCGCTGGTAAAATTAGGCTTATAATGAAGAATTGTAGGAACAATATTAACGAATATTCAATGAAATCATATTTAATTAATAATACTGTGTTACATTATATACATCAAAATTTAATACCTTTTACATACAAAGAATTCACGACATTAGATCAGGTAGGAAAAACGTAGCAGTCTACATTAATTCATTTTAAATCATGAACAAATAAACAACACTTTAAAAATAAGAATGTAAGCTTAATATTTTGTAAATAGCACCAAACATTGTAATAAATAATGTCTTGATGAACGGCAAACATCGTCTATATCTACAGTAAATATTTTATCTTAATTACTGACTAGATAAAACTGCATTAAAGCTGTCACCAATAAATGGAATGTATTCTCATTAAATAAATACTGACTAGACTAAACTGCATCGAAGCAGTCACCTTAATACTAAATATTCTTTAATACTGACCAGATTAAATACAGTGTATCGTCTTATAAGAATACTGACTAGACGATATATTGGCACTAGATCCGTACTTAAACCTACAAAATCGAGGATATACTCTAAAAGGAACATTTTCAGGGAAAATACGTTATAGAAAAAAACCTACAATCTTCAGAGGTCATAACATCGTAATCCCACCCTCCCATCTGACGGTATTAGTAAGAAATACGCTTACAAGTAGGAGTTGGGTAGAAGCCTATCCTCTCAGTGGGAGTAAAGTAGGCCTATCCTCCCTCCCAGTGACAGTAAGTTACAGTAGAAAGCCATCCTCCAGTGGGAGTAAAGTATGCCCATCCTACCTAACAGAATGTTTAATTAGAAGCCCACACTTCACTAGCAGAAAAGTAGGAGCCCTTTTTTGTCGTAGTAAATCAGATGCTAATTCTAACTTCCATATCAGCCGCAAATTAGATTAGATTGAAGATTAGATTAGAAGCTAATTTTCCCCCTGGTCTTGAAATATCCCAGATGCGCTGCGTTGTGCAGCAGGGACACCAGACCCACGTAGTTCTCCACCACCAGCTGCAGGTCTTCGTCGTCCTCGTCAGACGCTGTGCCGGCTGCAACCGGCGGAGAATCGGTCGTAACATGCTGAGTATCGCCGGTAGTCTGCGGACAATGGGCCGAAATCTGCCAGGAATCGGTCGTAATATGCTGAACATCGCCGGTTGTCTGCGGGAAATGGGCCGAAATCTGCCAAGAATCTTCCGCGAATGCGGAACTTTGATCGGAACGGCCGTTTTTAATACATTTTTCAGGGTTGTTTGGCAGGGCGCTGTTCATCAGATCTTTTTGCGTCTTTCGATTTTCATCCACATCCCCACAAAATCTCTCTGCGTCGTTGGGATTTTTATTTAAACTTTTCGCCGATCCATCTGATTTAGCATCGCTATCTGAGGTCGTATTTTTATTAGCCTTGAGTTCTACATTAGAGCCAAACGGCGCCGTTTCAGTGCAGTTTCGTGGCACGTGAGGCAGATTAGAGCTCCTCACATCATTTGTATGGTCGTACAAAGAGCGAAACATGGGCGCCACTTTGAGCTTGCATACAGGAGCGTCCGCTCGGTTGGCCAGCTCATCCAGCGCCACCGATAACTCCCGCGATAAATGCAGGACGTCATACATCGATGTGTCATCACCTGTGCCAAGAGTTCGTTTAATTTATTGGCAGTTATAATAAGGATGAATAACTTTTGTTCTTATTCGAGGTGTCGTGAACGTTTGATACATTCGATAAACTTGTCTGAAACGTGTAACGATGATTCAAAAGTATAATAGTTTCATGAAAAATGTTATCATATCCATTCCGATAACATTAATTATTGCAAACTTTAAAATTTGTAGATTTAGAATAGTTTGAACTGACCTGAGGTGCACCAGAAGAGAGGATGAGACGTCAGTGTAAGGTAGGGCAAATCGTTGCAGAATGGGTTCCATCTCTGACGCCATGTTGGTTCGCCAGCTTGTTTTTCACATTTATTGCGGCCGGTTTTGTGCTTTTCTTGGCCAATACAGACGCAATCGTGTTTTGTACAAACTCTGGGTGCGTCTTTTTGTTCTTCATCATTCTGAAAAATGTCCTTCTTAGTATAGAGATCTCCGCAGCCACAATCTTGTTTTTTGAGATTGTCGTAACTACCAACTCGTTTTTGGCAACTGATATAGTCACCATCCTCTTCTTGGAGCTCGGTGCAGCCACCATCTTGTTTTTGGCAACTGGTACAACCACCATCTTGTTTTTGGCAAGTGGTACAGCCACCATCTTGTTTTTGGCAACTGGTACATCCACCATCTTGTTTTTGGCAACTGGTAGAGCCACCATCTTGTTTTTGATAATCGGTACAGTCACCATCTTGTTTTTGACAATCGGTACACCCACCATCTTGTTTTTGGCAACTGGTACAGCCACCATCTTGTTTTTGGCAACCTTTGTAAATGTCATCATGGCGCAGAGGAGCAACAACTTGACGGCATGTTTTTGTAGTCACATCACGATCAGTTTCACTTTCAGGCGTTACTGAATTACACGAGTGACCAAGTTTATCCGTGATTGGGTGGCTGAAAAGCCGCAGCCCCGGCAAATTACTGGAAACGAAACAGGATATTACTTGAATTTTAAAGCGGATTTTAGGACGTGCAAAATAATTTTATAGTCTTAATATGTGAGCATTCTTTTATTAATCAAATCAATAGGTGCATAAATGATTACTACAAACCGAATAACTAATAAGTGTGTTTCACTAACCGAGGATCGGAGTTTAGTCCAAGAGAAGCGGAAGGCGGACCTGAAAGAAAATTAAACAACATTTAAACGTCATCGGAATAAATTAGTTATTGTTCGTAGAGATTATCCTTACCGGTTCTAGCATGCCCACCCCAAGCTGCTACTGCATTTATGCTCAGAGAAATGAGAGAAAAATATTTCTAAAATCCTTGAATTTTCCCCATGTTTGTGTGGGTTGTTCCGTCCAAAATCTCATTTGCTTCAATTAACGAAATTTTGACCATTTTTGCCCTCATCCTAGATCGAAATTATTAAACTACTATTCTAATACTAAATTATTAGTTTATCAGTAAACAGTTAGTGCATTAGTAAAAAATTCGAGCATTAGTAAACAGTCAGTGGATCATTAAACAATTAGTGCATCATTAAATAATTAGGGCATCATTAAACAATTACTGCATTAGTAAACAATTATTATACAAGTAAAAATTCGTTTCGCCTCTACGCGAACGCGGCAATAAAGAAAATGAAGAGAATCTAACTTCTACAGTCGTTTTTAATTGATGACAGAATTCATAAAAATTGACTCGTGCTTAACAATGAGTTTACAAGATATGCTACCTAACTGTGTCCGGTGTCAAACTGGCGTCTCATTATATTCATTATAATTATAACATGTAAATTCTTATATATTATCATCTGTAATTGAAACGTAATATTCATTAGACGTGATAGAGATTGATAGAAAAGTTCTAGACCTGAGTCAGCGTTTGGACAACATCATGTGATAGATCCCGCTATACAAAATACTTCGAACGCCACATGGGCGTTACGGATTGCAGTGTTTTAAGAGAGATGCGGTCAGGACAATACTATCTAAAATAATTGAGTGTTCTGCCAATCACTCACATTCCGTCCGTAAGAGTTCTGCCAATCACTGACAATTTTTCACGTGTATAAACTACCAATCACAGACGAGGAATCGGCCGATACGTGCACCGAAGCCGCTATGTGCACTTACACCGCAACATGCACTTACACCGCTACGTGCACTTTAGCCGCTATGTGCACTGAAGCCGCTTCGTGTACTTAGCACTTTAACCGCATCTCCGAGAATCGCCATTATGCCCCGTCTGCATCTCATTCAAACTACGATTGCTTCAGTCACCACTGAGCCAGGAAGACGAGAGGTTGCAAGTGTGTCGCTCTAAGAACGTAAGTACAAACATTTGGTGTTATAAAATCCGTGGGACAAATGTGGTACATGATGTGGACAGTAAGCGCTGTGTTCATTTTGTGCAACGTGCGCTACATGGGGTCACGATCCCCGTGAACCAATAGAGGTGCACGATGTGGAGAGTAATTGTAGCTATTATCTGTAGCATCGTGCACCATATGTGACCATGACCAGCGCATGTTATTTGTAAAATTTCTTGTGAGATCCTTCAAGTATTCATTATATATTGTTGATTATTGGACACACTTAGTGTTTGCTATATAATGAATTATGTAATATCCTCATTTCAGGCCCATGGATCCATCTCGATTTTACCGGAAACACGGAGGTTCTGAAAATGCTGAACATGATGCTGATGAAAATGGAGCAGATAGCCCTGATTCTGGAGATTCTGCTGATTCTTCATCCGATACATGCAATGATTTTTCACCAACTTATGCTCTAAATGAATCAGAAAGTAGTTCTGATAACGATTCAAGTAATAATGACGTTTCAGATGATGATGCCAGCTCAGCATGTGATGACAACGCAGGCAATGAATGGAATTCAACCGTAGCTTCAGCGAGATCATTCTCCTTCACAGGAAATGAACAACTATTAGTACAACCTGTACCTTCTGGAGCAGATGGAACTGTTTCACCTATTGATGCCTTCAAATTGTTTGTAACTGACGATGTTATATCGCATATTGTTCAGGAAACAAATAGATATGCAGAGCAAGTTTTTGAAACTCAAAGAGTGACTAGGAAGTCACTTCTATCAGATTGGAAACTGACAAATAATGACGAAATAAGGTTTCTTGGCATCATGATCTCTATGGGCCTTGTCAACATGCCAAGTATGGAATGCTATTGGTCAAAGAAAACACTTTATGCCTATGATTTTGTGAAAAGAAATATTACTAGAAGTCGATTTTTTCTCCTTCTGCGAATGCTGCATTTCAACGATAATGATACTTTTGAACAAAACAGAAGACTGCACAAAATAGAACCAATCCTTGATATGTTGAAGAATAACTTCAAATCAGTGTATTCTCCTGGGGAGAAACTAGTCGTGGATGAGTTGCAGGTTCCATTTAGAGGAAGAATTTTCTTCAGACAGTACATTCCTGGCAAGTCACATGAATACGGCATCAAACTATACAAGCTTTGCACTGTGAATGGGTATACATGGAATTTTGAAGTATACACTGGCAACTTGTCGAATGTGCCTGAGCATAACCATTCGGAGTCAATTGTTTTCAAACTGGCGAAGCCTCTTCTAAAAAATGGAGCAACCATCTATGCTGATAACTACTATTCTTCGGTACCATTAGCCGAGAAATTGCTCCAAGAAAAAACTTACTATTGTGGAACTGTACGCAAGAACAGGAAACTACTACCACAAGATGTTATGTCAGCAAAACTGAAAAGAGGCGAGGTAACAGGAAAGATGAACTCAAAAGGAGTAAAAATATGCCACTGGAAAGATAAGAGAGATGTCTTCACACTATCAACCTGCCCAGATCATGATTTGCAACTTATTACAACTGGTAAAAAAATCGAATGGGTAAGGAGGTGATGAAACCTGCATGCATTACAGATTATAATGCTGCAAAAGTTGGGGTTGACAAATCGGACCAAATGACTTTTTATAATTCAGTTCTCAGAAAAAGCACCAAATGGTACAGAAAACTTGCCATTGAATTGCTGTTAGGAACTTCAATTGTAAATGCTTGGGTTATTTATAACCAATTTTGTCTCTCGCAGCGACGAAGAAAAACGTCAATTCTGAAATTCAAAGAGAGTCTTGCAATGTCACTCATTTGCGGAATCGCTAAAGAGAATCTGAACCCGGGTCCAGGTAGATCAAACATCTCAGGAAAGCGCAAATCTCATGAACTGGTTGAGGCTGATGGGCCTAAAAGCAAGAAGAGGAAGAGATGTCTGTCTTGCTACAGCCAAATTGCCCATGCGGAAGAAACTAAAGTAGCCCGTTCAAAAACTCGCAAGATAAACACTTATTGCGACACTTGCAAGAATAAACCATATCTGTGCGTTTCATGCTTCAATCTGAAGCATTCCATTTCGTCATAAAGCGCCTAAGGACTCAAGTTCAACAAAGAATGATTAATAATGTTTACTCGCTACACGCAAAATATATGCTTAGTATACATTATCGTCATCATTATCCTTTACTTACAACACCTAAAATGTGATCGAGGAGGTTGATATTGAAGTTTAATGAATTATTATAAATTTAAGAGTGTGCACCATATGTGGGTCACGATGCAGGTTGAGACAGACACGCGTGACCCACATATGGGTCATGATGCGGTTAAAGTGTTAGGCCGCTACGAGTACTTAAGCCGCTACGTGCACTTACACCGCAACATGCACTTAAGCGAGTCTGATTGTTCGGCCGCATGTTTGTTGTCAAAACGTTACTGAGGTGACGGAGATCGTAGCATTGATTTGATACTTCGCGTGTCTGCAGAGGTCTGTATTGACTTCTACTTGCACTTAGCGCATGGAGATCGAGGTGGTGGCAGGTAAGCTAGAGTGCTGCGAGTATGTCATGAACACTTTCATATGTTCACCATATATGATAAGTCGCTGTTCACCATTCGTATCTTGAGGAGTTTTATCAACCAGTTCTGCGTTAGTATTGCCAAAAGAATGTGTTTTTCAACGTCTCTGCTCTAGAATATGTTTATTATTATCCATTTTAAGGACATCAGTTTGCTATTTTTATCAATTAACGTTTCTTTACTTGCGACGATATACAATCGAATAATAATAAGGCCAAATTCATTTAACGAGCATGCAATTAAAATTATATGGATTATTTCGTGTCATTTTGTGATGGTTGAGTTATTGAATGTGCATGCACGAAGAGCTATGCGCACCTGTTTGCTGATACATTCGGATACAATTTAATCACATTGTAAGACTGGGTTTACATGTTACTTTACTATACATTTCCGAAGTTGTACTTCTTAATCACAAGCCTCAGCCGACTCATAAGGTAGTAGGTACATTTCTAGTTGCTTTTTCCAAAACGTTCGTCTCTTAGATTTTTGTTGGTTTTAAACTTCGTTGCGACTAGAACCCTCATCAGTCGCATACGTTTTCACGTTCTGTATCTCATTGACATTAGTATCCAGATATTCTAGTTTGTTTACATTGTGTGAATGTGTTTAAGTAACGAAAACATTAAAAAATTTTCATGCCGTTTTTCTTGTTAACCAGTGATAATTAATGTCTTTTAGAAGAAGGATATTCGTCTAAAGTCTATTTTTCGAAACTCCGCGGAAGAAAACCACAAATTATTTAAGAATTCGAAGAAAATATGCTGTGTCCTAATTAATTATATTCATTGCTAATAACGGAATAGTTCAGAATTTATTATAACGTCTTCTTTTCCCTCGGCCCTTTGAATTAGTATATAACACTTATTAATATCAGCACGTTCTTGAACTAAACACCATTCACGGTGGAGAAAAAAATACACATTTATGCACAGAAATGAATGTGTATATACAAAAAAGAAATTATTCAATAAAACCGTACCTTCGCAGTTGCCACTTTCACCGCTGTTGGCTTCACGGCACTCATTCCTGGGAGGTTTCTCTGAAATTAAATCAAAGTTAATTTTTTCATGTGAGTTTATGGAAGGTTCTCAATTTTTTCGTTAACGGCATCAATGTAATTTTTGCTTGCCTGCATACATAAACAGGTGTGTTGAGAAAAAACCAGCATTAGTGAAGGCAAGTTGAGACTTACGGAGGACCGTTATTTTTTTCGGTTATAAACAAAATTGGTTATGAAAAGCGGACATAGTAAGGCCCAGAAGCACATCAGTGTATAGGGTCTAAATAGTATAGCAAGAGGAAGACATAAATATATGGTTATGGGAGCACATGCGAAGGTTATAAGAGACTAACCTTCCTTATGGAAGGACTTTGACATCGATGTGTCGGCGATGTTATGCAGAGTCGCATGTAGCCGCGGCCACAACACGGACCGCAGGATGGACATCACACTGTCCGCCAGTCCGGAAATAACGCTAAAAAGTTAAAATAAACGTAAGTAAGCGGAAATTGAGGTGTACCATAGTGGAAAGGAGGGAGGAAGAGTAAGGTTTAGAAACTAGTGAAACGTACACTGTTAGAAAAATTACCGTTAACGGTATTACCGGCGTTTTAGTGGCCGGTCGGCACGTGAAAAGAAACACCGTGTCGCCGTTTTTATTCTAATTTAACACGAGAAATCCGTAAAACATCTGATAAAAACGGCGAAACAGTTTATTTTCACGGGGCGACCGGCCACTAGAACGCCAGTTGGACCGTTTTTTCACCGTTTTTCTAACAGAGTACGAAACGAGACATAGGTAGAATGAAACAATGGAGGGAGAAGTTGATGGCAGACGAAAGAAGTTGATGGAAATATATAATTAGTGGCAAGGAGAAAAGATGATGTAGGCGGAAGCAAGGAAAATGTAAGAGTAAGAAGGAATAAAATGGAAGATGATGAAACAGAACTTGAATTTAAGAAAAAAGAGGTTATAGTTGATGCTAGTATTTTTATATCCAACATGATGCGCTCCTAAAGAAAATCATTTGGGTTTGATTTCTCGATCATCAACGATTTGCTTTCTTCATATACTTTATGAAATTGTCACATGGCCTAAATGGGGACAACCAGTAAAAGACTCTCACCGTTAGAGTTCAGAATGCGGGTTAACAACTAAATTCTGACAATTATTCGATTTTAAATTCGATTTTTCACCGTTTTTGAAGCATTGTGAATATCATTCAAATTAAGTGTTATACTTCCGTTTATCCACTAAATTTGTAGGTAATTAGTGTTCCTGCACGTATAGAATCACAATTTTTTCACAAATTATCTTATCGCACTTTTTTATCAGGAAATTTCCGCCTGTCACGGACTTTTTTTGTCTCTTTGAAGTAAATTCCTTTTTCCGACCATATTTCCATATAAATTAAAATGTTAAAAATAAAATGTTATCATTCTAAGAAGCGTCCAATATTTTTCTAAGTTCATACAAATCTTTGCCGATCTTTCCGTATCTACCCTAACAAAATTCGGAGACCGCTTAGGCTTCGGCCGAATGGTCATTGGGTCAGAGAATAACTGGATATCAGAATAAATTGCTGTCACATTCTAATCATTTTCATTATCCACGAGCTTGCATCATCAGTCAACACATCATCGGACATCATCAGTCAACACATCATCGGACATCATCAGCCAACACATCATTGGANTATATACATGAATATATCATAATATACATGAATATCATTATATACATGAATATATCATAATATACATGAATATATCATTATATACATGAATATATCATTATATATATCAATATATCATTATATACATGAATATATCATTATATATATCAATATATCATTATATACATGAATATATCATCATATACATGAATATATATATCAATATATCATTATATATATCATTGTACTCACGGGGCGAGGGAGCGGGGCGGGTAGACCAGCTCCCCCACGACAGCCCGTGACAGCCCCACCAGCGGGTACCTGGGGGGGGGAGGGGCGGGGTAACATGGGGGGTGTTAAATCAAGGAGCTAATGAGGCGATTTAATGAGATTTATATGCTATCAAAGCTTGTTAAACTACTTAAAATTGCCAAAATACGAAAAATTGTAAACCACATATGGTTGGTAAAACTACTTAAAATTGCTAAGCTACTTGAAACTACTAAACTACTGAATTACTACTACTAAATTACTAAACTATTACAATTGCTAAAACACGTAAAATTGTTGAACAAATTTGGACTAATTTGTTCAACAATTTTGAACTAATTAATTGTTGAACTAATTTGGATTGTTAAACTATCTACTTAAAAATACGCGAGATTGCTAAACTACTTAAGATTGCTTAACTACTCAACACCTTTCCTAAGCTACTTAAGATTGCTAAACTACTTAACACGTTTCCCAATCTACTTAAGATTGTTAACTAGGTACATGACAGGAGTTAACTATTAAGCAAGAAAGCTATCAAATGCTCAAGACGCTTAATTAGTTCAGCTAATGAGCTTCACAAATAAGAAGAAGCAACGACGCTCATTAGTTAATAATCAGAATATATAAACAGTACCGCTAATGAGACATAAGTCACCACTCAGCACACACTGCACTTAACTCGCATGCGTCTCAATAGAAATTATTAGTTCAACTATTAATTTCCGTTTAATTAGTACTTATTTCAGTTGAAATTAGAAATTATTAGTTCATTGGGAGCCGGCGACTTTAGTGCAGTGGAGCACTGCATGCAGTGACCTGGAGCACTGCATGCACAGACCTGGAGCACTGCATGCACTGACCTGGAGCACTGCATGCACTGACCTGGAGCACTGCATGCACTGACCTGGAGCACTGCATGCACTGACCTGGAGCACTGCATGCACTGACCTGGAGCACTGCATGCACTGACCTGGAGCACTGCATGCACTGACCTGGAGCACTGCATGCACTGACCTGGAGCACTGCATGCACTGACCTGGAGCACTGCATGCACTGACCTGGAGCACTGCATGCACTGACCTGGAGCACTGCATGCACTGACCTGGAGCACTGCATGCACTGACCTGGAGCACTGCATGCACTGACCTGGAGCACTGCATGCACTGACCTGGAGCACTGCATGCACTGACCTGGAGCACTGCATGCACTGACCTGGAGCACTGCATGCACTGACCTGGAGCACTGCATGCACTGACCTGGAGCACTGCATGCACTGACCTGGAGCACTGCATGCACTGACCTGGAGCACTGCATGCACTGACCTGGAGCACTGCATGCACTGACCTGGAGCACTGCATGCACTGACCTGGAGCACTGCATGCACTGACCTGGAGCACTGCATGCACTGACCTGGAGCACTGCATGCACTGACCTGGAGCACTGCATGCACTGACCTGGAGCACTGCATGCACTGACCTGGAGCACTGCATGCACTGACCTGGAGCACTGCATGCACTGACCTGGAGCACTGCATGCACTGACCTGGAGCACTGCATGCACTGACCTGGAGCACTGCATGCACTGACCTGGAGCACTGCATGCACTGACCTGGAGCACTGCATGCACTGACCTGGAGCACTGCATGCACTGACCTGGAGCAGTGGAGCACTGCATGCACTCACCTGGAGCAGTGCAGTGGAGTGAGGGCAATGAAGTCATATTTGACGACCAGGAGGCTGGAGTCGTGGAGCAGCACCAGCCGCTCCTGCTCCATGCCCCAGTGGCTCACTCTGCCCCAGTCAAAAAAGTTGTTGATATTATTTATTTAAAATAAATAATGATAATAATAATTATTATCATTATTATTAATTAATAATTATAATTATTTATATTAATTAATTATTAATATAAAATTTAAAAAATTAATATAAAATAATTAATTAATTATTACAATTATTATCAATATTTATTCAAATAAATAAATAATAATCCCGGTAACTTTATCAGCTCCAAAATATTATTGGATTTATATAGAGAAAATTCTACGTCTTTTGATCCAATATTTTATTATATCACTCACTGCCTCATAATATCACTCACTGCCTCATAATATCACTCACTGCCTCATAATATCACTCACTGCCTCATAATATCACTCACTGCCTCATAATATCACTCACTGCGTCAGGAGCCACACGCCTCTCATGTCGCCGTCCAGTGAAGGGTCGGTCAGAGCGCGACACTGCATGACCGCTCGCGACAACGCGCCGGCGCGCACTGAGAAGAACTGAAAACCGATAAGGGTTATATATAACGGTCACTAAGTTAAACGGGGTACAGCAAAATTAAGCGGTAGTGTTGAAAAGTGTATATAAAAGAAAATCAGGTATTAAATATGTATAAATTAAATTGATGCATTTTTTGCTCTTGTGTGGGTCATCCTGACACAGTTTTGGCCCGTAATAAAGGGCGTAATTGTACAAATGAACCATCAATTTTTCTGTGTGTAGCGAATCAACGTGGCACCCCACCTGCAGCTCGGGGGGCGGGGGGAGGGAGGCGTCGCTATGGCGACGGGGGCCACCGATGGGAGGCTGCTTGTAGAACGAGCGACTCAGTCCTGACACAGAAGGTGGGTCAAGATATGACTCAGTCCTGACATAAAAGGTGGGTCAAGATATGACTCAGTCCTGACAAAAGGTGGGTCAAGATATGACTCAGTCCTGACAAAAGGTGGGTCAAAGATATGACTCAGTCCTGACACAAAAGGTGGGTCAAGATATGACTCAGTCCTGACACAAAAGGTGGGTCAAGATATGACTCAGTCCTGACACAAATGGTGCATTATTATTATTATTATAAACAATAGACTTGAATCTCATTCAAATTTTTTATTGTGATAATCAAAGACTTTTTAGGTTCAATTTAAAATTAACTTTGAGGCTATCACAAAAAAATTTCGCATCTATATAAAAATTTCATTTTAAAGCCATATAAAAAACATTATTTGCAGGCATTCATTATTATTATTTATTATTATTATTTACATTCACACAGTAGGACGTACATACAACAAACAATCAAGTCGAATCCCATGAAAATTTTTCATTGTGATAAAGTATTTCTGGGTTCAATTTGAAATCAATTTAACAAATAAAAATATATTTTAAAAAATTAACTCTGGGTCTATCAAAGATTTTTTTCTTCAATAAAAATTTAATTTTAAAGCCTTGAATTTAATTTTTAAATTTGAGCCTTTATTTAATTTTTAATTTTAAACTAATTTTAATTTTTTTTCATTTTTAATTTTTTATATTTAATTTTAAATTAAAAAAAAGTCACATTTTAACCCACCTTCTCTTGCGTAGAATCCAAGCCCACATTCTTCAGGAGTGGGCGGTGTGCAGGGCGGCCCAAGCCCACTCAGTGGGTCGCTGAAGGCGGGCCTGAGGACGGGGTGGGGGGACAGAGTGGGCAGGAGAGAGGGCGGCGGTGGGCGGTGGGGCAACCCCTCAGGTGGGCTGCATGAGTGGTGGTTCATTATTATGAGTGATTTTGAGTGGGGTGAATTGGGGAGAGTGGGCTACAGATATGGGCCTTAATGTTAAGTGGGTATGGCCCATGATGATTCATGGTGAGTGGGCTACAGAGAGAAGCAATAAGTAATGAGTGGGCTACAGAGAGAAGCAATAAGTAATGAGTGGGCTACAGAGAGAAGCAATAAATAATGAGTGGGCTACAAAGAAAAGTGATTAACGGTGAGTGGGTTACAAAAATATACCATATTGTTAAGTGGGCTATGGCATATGATGATTCATGATGAGTGGGCTACAAAAGAAAGGTAAATAGGGAGCCAAGCGAGCTACAGAGTGAAGAATTCTTAACAGGTGAGCCAAACAGTTGGAACTTCAATTTTACAAACTAAAATTCTGTATTTCCCTAGAATTTTGCCTGCAATGCTTATTTTTCAATATAATTTCAATCAAAATACTTAAAATGTGCAACAGTGAATGGTATAGAATATAGTTTTTCACCTTACTTAAAACTATATTTTAGATCATATATCATTTTTCCATTACTTAAAATCCTTGCATTTTTACATTTAGGCTCATCATATACCGTATGCCGAAAGCCTAATCTTTGGTCATGTTTTTGTGTAATTCTGTTTAATGAGTTGAATGATGCAACCTTTTAAAGCTATCATTAAATTTCATAGCATTTTATGTTTGAAGTCTACATCAAGCCATCAATAATAATACTCCCAGTCCTTACATGATAAGGAATAGTCCAAGGTCAAAGAATTGCATACTATACTGAGATGTAATGAACTGATTTCAGAAAATATTGTCAGAAAAATAGATAACAAAGTTTGTGTCAGCAAATGAAGCATGACATGACACTAGCAAATTATTAAATGACCTTACTGAAAGATCTGAAAAATATTCAGCATAAATGAAACACCAATATGCATTATATTAACATGTATCAAAACTTCAAACAATAAATGTAACACAACAATGTATTATGTTAACATGTATCAGAACTACAAACAATAAATGTAACATTTTCATGTATTATCACAGATATCTTAGCTTCAAATAATAAATTCAACACAACAATCTATTATGTTAACATGCATCTAAACTACAAACTATCTCCTGAATAAACATTGTTACCAAGTATTGTTAAGGCAGGGGCTGGCGGTGTGGGAGGGGCTGGCAGTGCGGGAGGGGCTGGCAGAGGCAGGGTTTAGCTCCAGAGTTGCATTGCCAAACTTGAGCGTGGGAACATCATCCAGGAAATCACATGTTGATGCCATCACTGCTGGTGGACTGTGGGCCTTGCTCTGGAAAACTAGAAATGTTAACCCATAGAAATTCCTGCTGAGAAAAAGAATTTCCAGGCATCTCATGGGAGGACATAGTGAAGACTTTACCTAACAGAAAAAAATACCTATTGAAGGCATGAGTGTCTGCTCATCCACATTTCATAATGTAGACCATGACCATCTTTGACAAAAAAGCTACATTCAAGTTGAAAATTGCTTCTAATTATTGATATCATCAACATACAAATAAAAATTTGTATCATTTTTAATGGATGGATTTTAAAAATTAAATTAATGGTATGCCTGAAATTAGTTTGAACCTCACTGCAATGTGACATCTTATAAAAACTCTATGTTAACAATAAAACACATACCGTATTCAAGAGGACTCATCACTAGTGGAGCGTATGGTTACTTACTACTAAAGTTATTCCCAAAACAGTTGCAAGATTGGAAAAGTGACAAAAATCAAAGTAATTAATTTGGCTGATCAATTCTAAAGTCACATGCTTTAGAGGAATTTATAATCTTGTGAATTTATGACTTTTGAGACAGAGTTAAGAAAAACCATTCATTCAGTTTCTAGCTCAGTTTCATCAATAATAGGAACTATTCTAGTATTATTTACCTAGCATTAGCAGCCTATAACGGAAACTAGATTATCTAGCAGGGCCAAAAATGGTTTCCTAATTCATAACTCTAAGTCAGATAAACTAATTCTAAGTGTGGCTCAGAAAGTATATCTTTTCCACACCTATTCCTACAGTCCTACTTAGGAGTCAAGACTCTAGGACTAGGATCCACTCCCCATCCCTCAGACTCCTGCCCAGGCTGTCCTCAGTGTCCTGAGTCCTCATTTCCTGTTTATATTGGTCTTCAAACTCCAGCCTCCAGAGGGCAAGGCAAAGCTTGAATCTATGAAAGGCTAGAGGCCAGGGTGCAGAAAGTGGATGAATATCTAAAGATCTTTACAACACACCAGTGCCTATTTTCAGTGGCAAAATTAATGTCTTCAGAAGATCTTATCCAACACATTCTGATGAAAATTATTGCATTTTAGATATTTGCAATTCTTTGGTGATGCGGCTAACTGTAGAACAGGAAGTACGGTACACCAGTGACCAGTCAAGTGGCTGCATTTTTTTTTTAATTTCTGGTTTCTAGTTGCTAGGATGAGACTGCAGAGCACAATCCACAATTTGGTAACTTTTATTGCTATGCAAATAATGCAATTGCCTACATTCTGCTGCAATACCAGCTTACCTGGGCTGGGCCCTGGGAGGCTAGGGAGTGTGGAATTTATGATAGGTTATATATTCTCACATTTATATAAGAAAATAGATCGAAAAGCCTACCAAAAGCCTCACACTTAGTTTATATTCCTTTCCATTGGTAAGAATGCTAGAGTGCATAACGGCCTATGAAGTCAAGTGCTCAAACCCATAGCGCCGGATGTCCACAGCCACAAAATAAGCTTGCCAAATGTAAACATGGCCATACTGCATCTGGCCAAACCTCCTCTGGCCTAACCTATACAAGCTGCAACCTTTCTCACCCAAAACAAACATGAACGGACCTAATCTAACCTCATTGGCTGCAAGAAGTTAGAAAGGCGGTCCAAGTGTGCGGGTAGAGCAAGTCATTGGCTGCAAGAAGGTTGTGAGCCGGGACAGCGTGAATAGGTAAAGGCCCGTTTCCACTATGCTGGGGAGTGGGGACTGACAGACTGGGGTGTTGAAGATACATCATTATTATACACCACTATGCAGAGGGTGGATGCAGCGTCGCCAATATATGGATTTTTAAGCCCAAAGCGTCGCCGGCCATTTTAAAGATGCGTCGCCGGGTAATTTTTAATGAAAAGCCATTTACGCTGAGTAATGACGAACTATTACTGCATCGTAATCCATCCAACGTACCGGAAACCTTACTTTTTTCTAAATAGTTGGCCTAAGACTGAGAAATATATTAAATGCAAGAATTTCAATCTAAATGTGTCGGCAAGATCTTCTGAAGGCAAAAATTTGGCTACTGAAGCGTTGCCAAAGATCTTGCAATATTCATCCACTCTCTGCACAGTGGATTATACAGTCATACACTCATCAAAATAAGTTTTGTAAGAATTATAAAGAACATTATGTTTCAATTTTGCAACATATCTTGAAGTTGAAGACTGCTGGCAAAACAGCAACACATCTTTGGAGTTTGGACTGGCCGACTGGGTACTGTTGGCAACATTTTTGGTCCACAAATGCATAAATTGGTGTTGCATTCACCAAAGTTAAAACTCTGCACCCTTGACCCTGGGCTAGAGCTTTTTTTTATAATTCAGGCCTACACTTCAGTGACAGGCCACAAATTGCCACATCAGGCCTACACTTCAGCGCCGTCTGCGACTCTGCGCCGACATCACTATGTTATGTTAAATGTTAATTAAACGTTACACTATCTAAATTCTAAATTAGAAGCTAACATTTGTTTTGAAGGTCTTTTAATGCCTGACAGAGGTCCAACGGTTAATTGTAACCAAGTTATAGAATTCAGAGTGAAATACACTAACCTTTAAGGCTTGAGCTAAATACACGAAGAAGACCAACGGGGGCCAAAGACCAACGCCAGCTCCAGCAACGGCACACCCATCAGCTGTGAAGTCGGAAACACAGTCCGTCCGCGCTTCAGGAAAAAGTGAAGAGTACAGATATGGATCTGATGACCGTTGCCAGGCATGGATGAACTAGGCATGGTTGAACACCATGGGTGCTGGGTATAACTGAATATGAATTTTTGTGTCATTCATTACACATGCTCATACCTGTACTTTGCAACAAATTTCTTAACTGAAATATTGGAATTTATGCTCTATTATTATATATATCAATACATATAAATATATTCTTATCAATATTATTATTTATGCTTTTTGATCTCATGATCATACAACGATTAATGAATAAAAATATATAAATGATGTCTACAAATCATGGATGTTTATATTAATAAAGCAATCAGTCATCACCACGGCATATGCAGGCTTCAATGAACAAATTGTGTTAAGTTTTATTATTTATTTTGTGATAAGAACTCCTTTAAATTAATTGATAGTCAAACCATTTAACTACAATCAAGTTTTACATGGAAACCTATTTCCAGTCTCATTCAATTATATTCACACGATAATCTTCTCAATTAGTCTCATATAATAACATAAACACTTTTTCACTTGACCAGTGAATAATGGCAAACTCAATACACAGTATATAATTAATATAACTAATCCTACCCCATATCGCACTTCACCCACCGTGGCTTCACTTCAAGGCGGGCTTGAAGAAGTATTTATAAGAAGAATTGTTCATTAATAGAAATAAATATTTTATGTAACATTAATGAGAAGAATCATTAAATAATTAAAGCCAATAATGTTTGGAATGTTAAGGAGAAGAATCCTTCCCAGATCTTCGACAGCTTCCGAGAAATTCAATCGGTAGGTTTGTATAGCTCGAATTTATATCGCGCACTTTCTTTACTTGTGAAATGCAGTAATTAAGTTTTTATACCTTCAAACTCGTTTATCATTAATCTCTGTAATTAGATGTAACTTTATTATCTTGAACTCGCTTACTTATTCCGGATTTCATCCGTTTTCCTATTAGATTATTATACCTATTTCCTATTATATATTATACCTATATATTATACCTATATATTATACCTATTTATACCTATTATTTCCTATTAAATAATTATACAATTACACGATCAATAAATTTTGTCAATTCTGGAGCACGAATAACACTTGGGTAATTTCTGAAAAATAAAAATTCAGTAAACAATGAAAGTACGTTGATGTTTGAATCGTACCTACCATCAGGTATTGTGAATTCTGTTTAGAGTGCCCAGTCGGTAACCATTATCCAGTCGGGCTTTAACCTCATTACAACATTTCTCTTTAACTTCACTTCTTGTTTCACTTCTGCTTGTTTCTTTCTTTCTTGTTTCACTACTGCTACAAATCTTATAATCAAAATTTAACACACTTCTACCTGTCCAATCGATCTGAAATTTTGCACACTTGTGTAAAGTCGGAGACAATGCATGGACACAATAAATAATTTTGAAAACTAAATTTTTTCATATATTAGAAGTAAAAAAATTTAAAAATTAATTTTTTAATATATGGAAATAAAATCAGAAATTCATTGTAGATGTGTAACATCGGAGATTCTGTATTGTTTAGAAGTGTTGTCTTAATAAGTAATTTTTAAACGCATATTACTTTCTGTCTGACAACACTAAGGGGTATTGGGCTGCACCATCATTTTTCAATCTACCATTAAACATACTGAGCCCCCATCTTCTTTAACCTAACCTATATAATACATATTTACATTAATATACATATAATACATATATTCATATATAGGTACGGGTCCTATATAATACATATTTACATTAATTAATAAGGGAAAAATGACGGCCGTTTGTACCTTCTAAATCCAATCTCAATCACCATTATAAACACCTTCACATTTAAACAGCCGCGGAATTCGAAGATTGCATATATATGAGTGTGGAAACTTTTTGTAAACTTCTAGAAAATTTAAAATTTACCAAAAAATTATCGTATAATTACTTCAATAGGTATTATTCTGTTATTTCTTATCGCGGATTTCACCTATCGCGGCCTACCACATTTTTTGTAAATTCAAACCAAGATTACGAAATTTGTATTTTTTATTTGTCATGTATGCAATAAAAATACAGCGCCAACACAAAATATTTATTCATTGTTTCTTGACCTTAAATTCTAACATTACATTTTTACACATAACATACAACATAATCTACACATGTATGCCATGAGGTTTATCGCAGCCCGCACTGAATATTCATCAAAAACTACACAGAAATACATTTAAATCTACACGAAAATTTTCACCCCAATCAACACATAACATTCATACAAATTTCCACAGAAGTTGCATGAATCCAAACAATCCACAAAAATAATTCAAACAAATCCCGAGAAATATTAATATAAATAACTTTTACAAAATAAGATTGGAAACGAAAAAAAAAATCAATATAAGAAATTCATAATAATAATTCATATAAAACACTAAACACATTATATACATTAATACAATCCAAATCATTACAACATATTCATAAAATCATCCACACAGAGCACTAACGAAATCAACACAGAACATTCATTACATCATCAAAAAAATATAACTCAGTGCTCACTGCAGTGAGTGACAGAGAGCGCATTTTCTCGTCGACGAAAACTTGAGGTCACGGACGGACGGACAGACAGACAGACGGACAGACAGACAGACAGACGGACAGACAGACGGACAGACCTACATGGCGAGCACAATAGTGCATTCTTTCCATAAATGAGAAAATGCGCTAAAATGGTGTCAAATTAACACATAATATTCACCCAACTTCATACAGGACGTTCGTTGATTTTTCATTCAGTCGCTTCTTCGTGAATGGAAGACAAGAGGGTAAATCAGTCTTTCAAACAAATGCACGGCTCACATTGTCCAAATTGTGCCGCACTTTCTCACCCACAGCACGCAGCAGTGAGAGCGGCCGTAGCACTGATACGCCCTAACTGCGTCAGGATGACTAGAGCGGCCGTAGCACTGATACGCCCTAACTGCGTCAGGATGACCTATGCAAGAGCAGGAAGTGCGGCCATATTTGGGACAAAATCTCAAATTTCTCTGACTGTAGGTAATTTTGTATTATATATTATGTTTATAATATTATATACTATGGTATTATATAAAATAAACTATGTATATTATATGAAAAATACATGTATGTCGCATATAATTTATACATGCATTTTTTCAGGTATAAATTGTCAGAAACAGAAACACTCAAGCTTTAGATCAAGATTATATAGAATTTTTTTTAAAAAATATCAATTAAATATGTCAATGGTAACATAATAACGCAGATTTACTAATATTAATCCCAATTTGCAATATTTGGACGTTACAACAATTTTGATTTACATCTAACATTACATGGACGTTCATTCCAATTATGCGCTAAACAGTTTCTAAGAAATGAAAACAGAATCTTAAATATCTTTATTTTAAAAATTTGTTTCTAATTTAAACAATTCGCTTTGATATATCTCTCGTACCTTGAATATTGGTCATTCGTTATTTCATACAATATCTGTATTAAATATACATGCGTGGAGCATGACTCTGAGGCAGAATAATTTAATAATTTTTAAATATTTTTTACTAAAAAACAGCGTTGTAACACATCCATGCGACAACATTTCTTCTCGCTTCGAGTCACCGACATGTGGAACAGCCTCCCTGATAGCATCGTTGACGCTCCGAGTATGAACATCTTCAAGAACAGACTAGACGAAGCTATGCAGGAGCATATGTTCAGTCTTAAAATGCCTAGCAAATTACGGAGCAGGCAATAAGTCCAGACGAAGCTATGCAGGAGCATATGTTCAGTCTTAAAATGCCTAGCAAATTACGGAGCAGGCAATAAGTCCAGACGAAGCTATGCAGGAGCAGATGTCCAGTCTTAAAATGCCTAGCAAATTACGGACCAGGCAATAAGTCCAGACGAAGCTATGCAGGAGCATATGTTCAGTCTTAAAATGCCTAGCAAATTACGGACCAGGCAATAAGTCCAGCAGCTATCTCAATCAATCGTCAGCTATAGCAAGATAGGGGTTCCAAAGGCCGGATCCCTTGTGAATCAAGTCACGAAAAGTACAAGAATCTGCAGCAGGCCATGGGCCTATTTCTTCAGTGCCGACACTTCTATTCTATTCTATTTCCGACGACATCGTCTCCTGTTAAGACCCGTTTCGCTTTTTCAAGGTGCGTCTAGGATAAAAAAATTTTAAAAAATCATCACGAATCGTCAGAAATTATTGAGATTTTTTAGAATCAGTTCATATTCCATCAGATTCGCCAGCATTCGTTAACATTCGTCGTTAATTTATATAATACAAAATTTTTTCAAATTGGTTAAGATTCATCGAATTCATTCAGATTCATCAATACTTTTCGACGTGCATGAAGTTTTTTCTGGATTCCGAAAAATTCTCATGATTTTACAAAATCAAAGATTTGCAAAATTCGGTAATTCTATTAATCGAAAATAAAAATAATTTTCACAATTCTTTCCGTCGTAATACTAAATAATTTACAAATTTTACAGTCGAGATCCAGGAAAGCAGTTAAAATTTTTCCCTTGCTACCTCAAAATCATTAAATTATCATAGAAAATAATTTAGTTCTTAATTCTATTCTAATCGCCGCAAATTTCATTACATAAATTGTCACAAACACCGCAGTTTTTTCTCAGGTTCATCAGCTGCCAGGAATTACGAGAGTCCTGAAACTGCGTCAAATTCGTGAAGCTTTTTAGCATTTGTTAAAATGAGTCCACTTTCGTCAGAACTGTTCCTGTCTCCGTAGGATTCGTTTAGATTTCCATGATTTATCGAGATTAAGCAAAATTTATTATGAGCCGTCAATATTTAAGGAATTAATTTACCAGAACTGGTCTAGATTCGTCAAAATTTGAATATTTGCCAAATGAATATTTAAAAATCAAGTCAATATGTTTGTCAAGTGAATATTTGCCAAGTGAATGTATGTATATAATTTCGGGCATTGGGCATTGAATCGCATTCCAATTACATGAATGAATGAGCAATATTGTCCAAATATTGTCCCGCTTTTTACAACACTTCTCTTTAACTTCACTTCTTGTTTGTCTGTCTGTCTGCTACAAATCTTGTAATCAAAATTTAACACACTTCTACTTGTCCTATCGGTCTGAAATTTTGCACACTTGTGTAAAGTTGGAGACAATGCATGAATCAAATGTCAAAATAAATAATTTTAAAAATTATTTTTTTTTAAATTAAAAAAATTGAAAAAATAATTTCGTCAGCTACAAATCTTTTAACTGATATTTGACACACTTTTACCTGTCTAATTGATCTGAAATTTTGCACACTTGTGTGAAGGCAGAGGCAATGCACGAATCAATTAACAAAATAAATAATTTTGGAAAAAATTATATATTAAAAAAAGTTATATATAGGTATTAAAAAATTGAAAAGTTAATTTTTTTAATATTTGAAAATAAAATGAGAAATTCATGGTACATCTTTAACATTGGAGATACTGGATTCTTTGGAAGTGTTGTCGTTAAAAAGTAGTTTTTAAACGTATATTATTTATCCCAAGCACGTGGCAGTGAGAGCGGACGTAGCACTGATAGATCCCTTTATACGAGGTCTGAATTCCTCACACAAGGGAAAATGTCCATCGTTATTAGGGCAAGTTTCACTCAGTTTTTTGAGTGAAGGTTTTCTGATAACCAAGCGAGATAGCATCAAAAATCATAATATTTCTTATAATGATGATTAATTATTTAATTAGCATCAAAAATCATAATATTTATTATAATTATGATTAATTATTATAAATATTGGTATTATATACCGTGTGAACAAACGGCGTAAGAAAATAAATAACTTAATTTTACGTATTTTAAGGTCAGTTGAATATTGTGAACATTTCAGTTATTAACAAACAAATTTGATTACGCAGTAAATTTTAATTCGTCTTGTTAAACATTGAAACGAAAGGGTTATTGTTATTAAAATTAAAATTAAAGGTTATTATTTTCCTGCGGTAAAATGTAATGCCTACGAATAATAATACGGAAATAAATTGAATGAACAATTTAAATACTTGAAATTATGTAATTCCAATACAAATAAATGGGCTAATTTTAATATATTAGCTGCTTCATTGCCCCCACATTCTTCTAGATTTTTATATATTATGGACATTTATATCTTAACATTAATAATTTATCTTTACATCATCATATCATATCATATCATATATCTCTCTATATGTACAACAATTTTATTGCTTACCCTCTTAATACGTATATTTCTTTGTATTTATTAAACTATTTTGATTTACATCTAACAATACATGGACGTTCATTTCAATTATGCGCTAAGTAGCTCCCTAAAAATTAAAACTGAATCTCAAATAATATTAACTTGAAAATTCTTTCATAATTAAAACAATTCGAGCATATATTTCTTCTCATCATCCTGCAATTTTTTTTAATATCTGGCCACGGGCGTCCGTTAACGGCTGCTGCCACCGGCACAGACAAGATGGCGCCTGTTAACGGCTCCTGCCACCGGCACAGATAAAGATGGCGCCCGTTAACGGCTGCTGCCACCGGCACAAACAAAAATGGCGCCCGTTAACGGCTGCTGCCACCGGCACAGACAAAGATGGCGTCCGTTAACGGCTGCTACCACTGGCACAGACAAAGATGGCGTCCGTTAACGGCTGCTGCCACCGGTACAGACAAAGATAAAGCCTTTTTAACGGCTGCTGCCACCGGCACAGCCAACGATGGCGCCCGTTAACGGCTGCTGCCACCGGCACAGCCAAAGATGGCTCCCGTTAACGGCTGCTGCCACCGGCACAGCTAAAGATGGCGCCCGTTAGCGGCTGCTGCCACCGGCACAGACAAAGATGGCGCCTGTTAGCGGCTGCTGCCACCGGCACAGCCAGCGATGGCGTCCGTTAACGGCTGCTGCCACCGGCACAGCCAAAGATGCGCCCGTTAACGACTGCTGCCACCGTCACAGACAAAGATGGCGCCTGTTAACGGCTGCTGCCACCGGCACAGCCGACGATGGCACCGGTGATGGTAGCAGAGACCTGTGGCAGCAGGAGGCTGTGGTTGTCATGGGACACCTCCAGGAAGGCGGGGTCGTTGAGCACGTCCCTGATCATCTCCTTGAGCATGAAGTACCGCGGCAGGAACGGGTACACTTTGCTCTCCGCGTACTCCACCTGAGGGACCAGGTTCTAAGTGGTAATTGTGGTACTTCTAAGTGGTACTTGTGGTGTAATTAGAGGGATATACAGATGGGACGATGGTGCCAAGTGGTACTTGTGGAGTACTTATAGAGGGATATATACAGATGAAGGGACAAGGTACTAAGTGGTACTTGTGGAGTAACTAGAGGGATATACAGAGGGAGGGACCAGGTAATAGGTGGTAATTGTGGTGTACTTAAAGGGACATACAGAAAAAGGGACCAGGTACTAAATGGTACTTGTGGAGTATTTAGAGGGACACACAGATGGGGCGGGGTTCTAAGTGGTACTAGTGGTATATCTAAATATAAAATACATTAATAAATATACTTTTTACATTAGTGTATCTAAATGAAAATATTATATTACATAATATTATATGAAATATTATATTACATCTTTCCTAAATTTCATACATTAATATATCTACAAAATATACAATAATAATAAAATATACATTTAAATAAAATAAGTGGTACTTGTGCACATCTAAATGGGATGTGGCTGTTAGTGATAATGGTTGAGTACTTAGTTAAGTTAAGGATGTGAATGGATATATCTCTGGTGTTTTTAAAATCGTTTGAAAATACATCAATCTTAGGAAAAGATATTTAAAGAGCACCCAGAGGTACATCAGGAAAGTAACTATTATTAATAAATTATTGAATTTCCACTTCTGGCTGCTCGAATTTGAGAATTTTGGAGTCTCTACATATCACCAAACGAAAACCGTGTCTCAATAATGCGTTCGGTTCATATAATCTGGAAATAGTTAACCGCTAGGTTTTTATGTTTTAGTGTTTTTTCTTAAGTTTTATTCTTTTCGTGACGCCTAGGACTAAGTTGTTCCAATAGAGTCCTGTTTTTCAATATAATATTAGGTCATGCTTAGGTTTTATGTCTGTCTTGGACTTTTGACTTATAATATGATTTTACAGGGTACGTTTGAGGTACTGATGGCATGTGTCATTGTGAATTTACTCATCTTGTGTCAAGGGGCACTCTTAACCCTTTAACGCCTAACACGGGTAACCGAAGCAATATTAGTAGTATATTAATATTAGTAATATAATACTAGAAGCAGTATTAATAATATGAGTAACCGGAGCAATATTGTCTCGCTCCTACTTCCCAAAAAGGATACGTTCTAGTTAGCGCAAAATGACTTGCACTGATGGTTGCCGCCACGTACAACAACTTTAAAATGTTCTCTGTTGCGTACAAACGTCCTCAGGTTGCTACACTCAATAGTTTACGTATACTTTAAGTTGAAAGTTATGTTCCCGTATATGTCACTACATACGACGGTGGAGGGTTGAATGTCTATGTATCAAGCACGGATAGACATTGTCTTCGTTGTACGCCGCGAAATAAAGTTTTTAATTATATTATTAGCACTAAATTAGCATCAATTAGAACAATTCTATGTTGAACATTATGAATACATTTTCGAACCAATTTCAACCAAGTTGAAAGTTATGTTCCCGGAGAGTGACATACGGCGGTAGAGGGTTAAGGGTCCTTATAACGTGTATTATCATGAGAAAACTACGTGTATTATTGTTATATCTTTATATTTAGTATCGATCCCGGCGGAAGTCTAGTAGCTACTTCAAACTATCGTCAGTCATGGAAAGATCCGGTCAAATGACATGATATTAGATCTTCTGTGAACAAGGCACGAAAAGTACAAGAATCGGCGACAGGCCACATCAGGCCAATATACACTGTTAGAAAAATTACCGTTAACGGTATTACCGGCGTTTCAGTGGCCGGTCGGCACGTGAAAAGAAACACCGTTTCACCGTTTTTATTCCAATTTAATACCAGAAATCCGTAAAACATCAGATAAAAACGGCGAAACAGTTTATTTTCACGGGGCGACCGCCCACTAGGATGCCGGTGGAACCGTTTTTTCACCGTTTTTTCTAACAGTGTAGATCAATATGTTATGTTATGTTATAACGTAGTTTCTTTATAACGAGTATTACTTTTTCAAAGCATAATTCTGGGAGGTACTTATAACGTGTATCATGAAGAAGGTACGCACCTTGAGCTCGCGTACCAAGGTGCGCATGGAGTGATACCGCCGCAGGGACCGGTACACCTCCGTGATCAGCTCATGGTTCTCCTCCAGTATCCCGCCTGTCGTCATCGCTGTACCGGTAATGGTAATCATGGTAATGGTAATCATGGTAATGGTAATCATGGTAATGGTAATCATGGTAATGGTAATAATTGTAATGGTTCATGGTAATGGTAATCATGGTATTGGTTGTCATGGTAATGGTAATCTTGGTAATGGCAATCTTGGTAATGGTAATCATGGTAATGGTAATCGTGGTAATGGTAAGCATGGTAATGGTAATTATGATAATGGTAATCATGGTAATGGTAAGCACGGTAATGTAATCATGGTAATCATGGTAAAGGTAATCATGGTAATCGTAATCATGGTAATGGTAATCATGGTAATGATAATCATGGTAATGTGATCATGGTAATGGTAATCATGGTAATGGAAATCATAGTAATGGTATTTATGGTAATGGTAATCATGGTAGTGGCAATCATGGTAATGGTAATCATGGTAATGGTATTTATGGCAATGATAATCATGGTAATGGTAATCATGGTAATGGTAATCATGGTAATGGTAATCATGGTAATGGTAACCGTGGTAATGGTAATCATGGTAATGGTAATCATGATAATGGTAATCATGATAATGGTAATCATGGTAATGCCTGTCTCTTATACACATCTAGATGTGTATAAGAGACAGGTATAGAGGCGCTAGTTACCATGGCAACGCAGCATGGGCACCCACCGTAGAGGCGCTAGTTACCATGGCAACGCAGCATGGGCACCCACAGTAGAGGCGCTGGTTACCATGGCAACGGAGCGCCGGCACTCACCGTAGAGGCGCTAGTTACCATGGCAACGCAGCGCTGGCACCCACCGTATAGAGGCGCTGGTTACCATGGCAACGCAGCGCGGGCACCCACCGTAGAGGCGCTGGTTACCATGGCAACGGAGCGCGGGCACTCACCGTATAGGCGCTGGGCGTTGGCGCGGCGTCGCTCCTCCTCCTCAGTTTGGCGCTGTGGTCGCTCGGAGTGGGCGAGGCTAGCGGTGAGCTCACGAGCCCTCTCTCCCTGGGGGGCGTTTGAGAAATTTTCGAGATCAATGGTGTTTTTTTTTAATTTCAGTCACAGAAATTGTTCAAGAGCCACGTGCAGTATTGGCTCACTCATGGATGGCTTTATTTCTGCCCGATCACCCGTTTCTTTCTGTTTGTGCAATTGTGTTTAGTATAGCGGTGTCAGCGTCCAATAGGCCGTAGGCATGTTGCTGATTCTTAACATCACCGATCATTCACAAATTGTTGTTGTCTCGAACACGCAACTCACTGCACCAATGCTGCTGTGCTTAACCAACCGGCATACATGCCGATTTGACTAAATTGTCACAGGAGCTGGGATCAAACCCACAACTCATTTGTTCCAATCTTGGTACTGTAACCACTGGGATGAATGGTAGTGAATTTTGTGTGATACGGGATTGCAAATACCAAACAGAACAATGCCACCAAACTCTTTTTTTACATGACTAAAGAAATGTGACCACGAAAATTTTAATTGCGTTATCTAATTAATAATAAATAGTTCTTGAAAACTGGTGTTTAAGTATTTAGAACTAATAAAAACTCACAAACTATATTTTGTGGGCAGCCTCTTCTGCACATTCGAACTCGAGCAGAGCAAAACATTATATAAATTAATTTTTTGTTTTTAAGTTTGTTTGCTGCGTGCTACGTGAATCACAGATGTAAAGTGCAATGAGAGAAAACAAATAAATAGTCCATGCATGAATAAGTTATTTACGAACACTCTCTTAGAAAACTCGCATTAGATCGTAAACTACAAAAAATTATACACACATAACATTCAAAGAATTTCGATATTTAAACGATGTAAATGGCCTTTTAAAATAGAAAATTTATAACGCGTCAAACGATAATGAACACATGACTCACCCGCTCCACCTCATGACTCACCCGCTCCACCACATGGCACACTCTCATGACGAAGGCGTTGACGGTTTCGTCCTTCCGCTGCTTAGGCGCGTCCAAAAGTTGACAGTTTTCGGTCTCCAGACGCACCATGTCCTGTGGGGGCGGTCAGGTCACTCAAGACAAGACAGAAAAAAAACTGCGTTGTAACACATCCATGCGACAACATTTCTTCTCACTTCGAGTCACCGACATGTGGAACAGCCTCCCTGATAGCATCGTTGACGCTCCGAGTATGAACATCTTCAAAAACAGACTAGACGAAGCTATGCAGGAGCATATGTTCGGTCTTAAAATGCCTAGCAAATTACGGACCAGGCAATAAGTCCAGCAGCTATCTCAATCAATCGTCAGCTATGGAAAGATCGGGTTCCAAAGGCCGGATCCCTTGTGAATCAAGTCACGAAAAATTCAAGAATCGGCAACAGGCCATGGGCCTATTTCTTCAGTGCCGACACTTCTATTCTATTCTATGACACTAAGAACATTCCGAAAATTTACACTAGTGGTTCCTTAAGTGGGCGGCACCGTTCCCCTGGGGGCAGTGGAAAGATCTGGGGGGCGGTGAGGAACACGGGGGCTGTAAGGGGGCGGCAGTCCGAAGTCAAAATCAGAAGTTAGAACGTTTGTTTGACGAAGTGTACGCTACATATATGCAGCTGCTGCACATGATTCCCAGCGATGAGTTTTTCCACTCAGATCTGGGTTTTATTTGAGCCTATCCTGGGTTTATCTCTCGGATAATGTACGATGTTGTGTTTCGTACTTACATATCGCATGTGAAGGATCTTATCTTTCAACAAGGAAGACATCAATCAGGAAATATCAAGGGACGAATGATATCAACATTGTCATCTGACAATAAATTTACGGCCGGACTCGCGGCTGATTTCCAAATTCAATGATCAAGGAATATCTCCCTTACTAATGGACGCAGCTCGTTGAAACTCGGTACACATATTTATTGGGACTAACGGTCATGTTTAGCTTAGAAAAATTTGTTTAATTTCACTTTCATTCGGGAGTTATATGACGATAGGGGCCGAAATTCGCAGTGATCAAGAAATTTCCTCCAAACTACTGAACAGATTCGAAAAAATTTTAAATCTACATTTCTAAATATCTAACGGTTATATTTGGCTCGCAACAATTTATTCGATTTTGCCTTCTTTTGCGAGTTATACGGCAATACGTATACGGCTCTTGGTTAAACGGCCTGTCGAAATGCCGGACGTTTCGCCGAAGAATTCGGAACGAAGGCAAAATCGAAAAAATTGTCACGAGCTAAACATCACCGTTGCTGATGTTAGGTAATTATACGCAGCCAATCTGCTCAGTAGTTTGGAAGAAATTCTTTGATCAATGCGAATTTCGGCCAGTTTCGCCATATTACTCATGAATTTAGGTGAAGTTTAAAGATTTTCACGAGCTAGACATCACTGTTTGGTCCTAATGAATGCGTGTTCCAAGTTTCTACGAGCTGCGTTCATTAGTTTGGGAGATGCCCCTTGGTCCCTGAATTTGGAGATTGGCTGCGAGACCGGCCACGAGTCCGGCCGTAAATTTGTCCGCGACGTCCTGGCTTTTTAGTGCTGAAACCGTTAAAATTGCTAAAAATATATTGATTTACTAAATGGGGTTCTATTTGTGACATACACATTTATGTCAAACATTTCTCTTTTAAAAATAAAAATTGCAGCGAACTTTATAGCAAAAAACATAACTCAGTTCTTATTGCAGTGAGTGACAGAGCGCGCATTTTCTCGTAGAAGAAAACGTGAAATCACGGACGGACAGACGGACAGACGGACACGACGAGCACAATAGTGCATTATTTCCATAAATGAGGAAATGCGCTAAAAAGCGTTCGTATTTATATGTGTCTATGAGGGGGGGCGCGCGCTAGGAATTCACTGTGGAGCCAAAGGACGCGACAGCCTGAAAAAGTTTGTGAACCACTGAACTAGACCATGCCTCTATACTATGCCTCTAGAGTCTAGACCATGCCTCTATACTATGCCTCTAGAGTCTAGAATATGCCTCTAGAGTCTAAACTATGCCTCTAGATCATGCCTCTAGAGTTAGACAATGCCTAGAGACCATGCCTCTAGAGTCTAAACCATGCCTAGACCAAGATTGTAAACCACTGAACTAACCCATGGCTATGCTGCAAACACCACCCTTGACTGCTACCAATGCACCGCTAATCCCCTCACAACTCCCCTCACTCCCCTCACTCCCCTCACTCCCCTCACTCCCCTCACTCCCCTCACTCCCCTCACTCCCCTCACTCGCCGTTTAAAGGCGCCTTGCCAGGGCGTGAATACGGAATTCCTGTTTGACTTGGAATGATGGCTTGGAATGATGGCTTGGAATGATGGCTTGGAATGATGGCTTGGAATGATGAATGGCTTTATCGTGCATTTCTCAGTGAGCGACATGAACTTTTATATCACATTCGAAAGTCTTCTTATAATCGATAACAAATGCTGGGGTCTATATCTCCTTTACTCATTTTCCTATTGTTGTCACCAACTCCCCCATGACTAGTCACCCAACTCCCCCTAACTAATCACTAACGCCATTCCCACCAAATCGCTTAAAATAGTTTCATATTCCCCTATTATTCACCCGCTGTGTGTCCCATACGCAACACTTACGCACCCACCATGAGACTGATCTTAACTTACATACTGTTTCTTACAACACTACTCTTTAACTTCACTTCTTGTTTGTCTGTTTGTCTGCTACAAATCTTATAATCAATATTTAACACACTTCTTATAATTAAATAACATCATTAATTAATAACATCACCTAATATAATAGAACACAAACCTAATAATCAATATTTAACACACTTCTACCTCTCCAATCGATCTGAAATTTTGCACACTTGCGTAAAGTTGGAGACAATGCATGAATCAATTGACAGAATAAATAATTTTGAAAAATGTAAAAAATCAATATCAAAAGAAATTTTAAAAAGAATTTGTTTATTATTTAAAAATAAAATTAGAAATCTTTGTACATGTGTAGCGTCGGAGACACTGGCCTCTCTAGAAGTGTTGCCTTTAAAAAAGTTATTTTTAAATGCATATTTTGTCATACTCACTATTTGTTCACCCTGTACAAATATCAAACTCACCCATATTGTACGCCAATATGGGAGATTAATCTCAGTGAGGAGATTAATCTCTTTTTAATCTCAGTGACGTATTTCAAAATCACCCCACACTCACCCCTCACCCACACTATACTCGCCTCTCGCTCGCCCATTCACAGTCCATAATCACCTCATACTCACCCCTTCACTCACCCCTTACTCACCCTCACTCGCCCCTTACTCACCCCTTACTCACCCCTATACTCACCCCTCACTCGCCCCATACTCACCCCTCACTCACCCATTACTCACCCCTAATTCGCACCATACTCACCCTTCACTCACCAATTCCCAGCCCCTGCCCTTAATCACCTTAATCATCTCCTTAAGCATCCTGTAGCGCTGCCAGGCGTTGGGTGACCGCCTGCTCTCGAGGTAGCGGTGATTCAGGGTGAGTAAGGCTTGCCGCACGATTTTCAGGCTCGAGTTAAGTCGCGCCTTGGTGGTGAGTAAGGCCTGGTTGGCGAGTATGCTGTCCTCGCGAGTCACCGAGTCCGCTGGGGTGATCAATGGGTGAGCAAGGGCTTATAAGAATAAAGCAATGGGTGATTGAGGTTTAATTAAAGAGTAGGAGAGCAATAGGTGAGCAAAAGCCATTAAGTAGGGAAGAAAATGTTGCCCAAAATTTGATGATGAGTTAATAGTAATGATGTATAGATATGATAATAGAACGAAATTAATCATCAATTTAAGGAATGTCAAATTTTTATATACTAAACAATATTTGTCTTCTAAACTGGTTTTATTTACACTGCAAGCTGACGATGTAGATTGAATATAATTCAAGGAGATCAGATATCCGCCATGTCAATGTCTATCGGATATTCGCTATGTGATATCGATCAGATATTCGCTGTGTGATATCGATCAGATATTCGCTGTGTGATATCGATCAGATATTCGCTATGTGATATCGATCAGATTTTCGCTTATAAAACATGTTATAAAATTTGTCGAAAAATGAGATGACGTTCACAAAGTAATTAAAATTAAGAAAACAGCACCCCCTCACAATACTCACAGGGCCTCACAATACTCACAGGGCCTCACAATACTCACAGGGCCCTCACAATACTCACAGGGCCTCACAATACTCACAGGGCCTTACAATACTCACAGGGCCTCACAATACTCACAGGACCCTTACAACACTCACAGGGCCTCACAATACTCAGAGGGCCTCACAACACTCACAGGGCCCTTACAATACTCACAGGGCCTCACAATACTCACAGGGCCCTCACAATACTCACATGGCCTCACAATACTCACAGGGCCTCACAATACTCACAGGGCCCTCACAATACTCACAGGGCCCTCACAATACTCACATGGCCTCACAATACTCACAGGGCCTCACAATACTCACAGGGCCTCACAATACTCACAGGGCCTCACAATACTCACAGGGCCNTTCATTTGTTTTTCTGCATAATTCCTATCAAGATTGAGGTATTTATAGTATCCTGGAAGCTTATTTTGTATACTGAAACCTTCGTCAAAGAAACTTTCTGTTTGACTAAACAACTAAATTCGATAACTTTACGAAAAATAATTCTGGAAACACCAAGCAACTTTTTTGCAATGGACAAATTCGTGAACGCCTGTTCTCTTTCACTTTCCATTAAAGTTTTTTAATGGAATATTGGTATTGCTATAATGGTCTCTAACATTGTTCCTCATCATTAATGTTTAAGCGGCCATTTCTGCACAATTTCATGACAATTTTATATGGTATATGGTATCTGGTATACGGTATATGGTATATGGTATATGGTATATGGTATATGGTATATGGTATATGACATATGGCATATGGCATATGGTATATGGTATATGGTATATGGTATCTGGTATACGGTATATGGTATATGGTATATGGTATATGACATATGGCATATGGCATATGGTATATGGTATATGGTATATGGTATATGGTACATTGTATATGGTATATGTATATGGTATACGGTATATGGTATACGGTATATGGTATATGGCATATGGTATATGGCATATGGAATATGGTATATGGTTTATTTATGGTATATGTTTTCACCATACACTTACACTGATTATTATTGGTTAATCATAGAACATTAAGTATGTAGCAAAATAGGGTGATACATGTAGAATGATTAATACTTCAATAAGAAATCATCATATCATCGTCAAGTGATCATTGTGCTATCATTACACTGATATAAAATTAATTGATAATTATTTGGTAATGATATAGGATATCTTATTTACTTATATATCTTATCTTGATGACAGAAAATATTCTTTTTCATTAATTTGAAACAATGCTAACGTTTTTTAATATATTTGGGAAAAGCTGAGTAAAAAGTAACTAATTAAATAAATTTTTGATAAATCTATACAGTAAGTAATAACTTAATGCGACAAATATAGCGGGATTACCAGTGAACACAACACAAGTAGCGGGATTACCAGTGTATTTCCTATGGGTTGAATAAATCCTACCAGCCCAGGTTGTGTAGTTTTTTATCTTGTGGATTGAGTATAGGATATAGGATAATATACCTCAATATATCTATAATAATATATAATATACCTTAATAATATATAATATGTACGTTATAATATATAATAAATATACCTTATATTATTATATTATATATATTAAACTATATACCTTATAATATCCTATATCGTACGTCACGTGGATGTGTTCCGTGAATTACGCGTTGTTTCCTCGTAACGCGCGCGTCACAACGCGGGTAAAACACGGCGGTCTTATAGTAAGTAATATTATATATACGTATAATGTATATATAATTTTTATTACTTATATATAAATAATATATTATAAACGTAATAAGTTCTGCCGAACGTCAATACTTTTATGTTTATAAATTCTACCATCATCATATTTTTAACAGAGGTCTAAACATGTCCGATTATTTCATTGGTTCTAAGACTATCATATTTTTAACACAGGACTTAAAATGTATTATTATTTCATATACACATATGAAACATACTGTTATACATACGCTGGCCGTATGTATAAGAGCGATCATAAGATCTATAACGATCATCAGTTCTACCAGGATTGTAAATTCAACAGCTGTATTCTGATGATACGTAATACACAGCTGTATTACGATTAAGTTGAGCGTTAGTTGACTCGCATCCATTAGTGACACTGATGAAAACAGATATGATATTCAATAAAATAAATATTCAACCTTAAAGGTATTATATCTAAAATACATTTTTTCGTTCTAACGTAAAGTAATTTCTATCGTTACATTGATTTTAATTAATGCAGACCTTCTTCATTGTTTGGTTAATTATTCAAGATTATTACACATGTTTATAATATCGACTGTTTTGGATTGAAATTGTATAGCCCATGAAACCATTTGTCTCTAATTATTAAGTATGGAATTCTATCATCTATAGAATAAATAACCGATATAAACCATTTTAACGGAATTGTCCTAAATTTATAAATTATTCATGAGGTAAACTGAATTTATAAATCAGAATAATTTATAATTAATAATTATTTATAAACTGAATGTATAAATTAGAATATTTTATATATAGTAATTATTTATAAACTGAATTTATAAATTATTCTAGAGGTAAACTGGTATGTGGGAAACATAAGCCCACCGCGTACCTGCTCACGCGCAAAAAAATCCCTCTTCATATTTTCTTCCTCCAGCACTGCGCGCCTGCAGTGCACTTTTTGCCTGAAATTGTTACCCTGGCATTTTTCCCTTAAATGTTACGCTAGCAACGCTGGTCATTTGCCCTTTGGATGCGCATCTTGCCTGGTTAGCCGTGACCATTAGAAGTCACGATAAGTGGAGGGGGATCCCCATTATCAACACAAAATCAGTTATTGTTTTTCATGCTATATTTTGCAAAAATATCGTGAAACACTCAGCTCGAGGTCACGGCACTGAGTTGGGGATGAGGCAACCCGCAAGGCTGAGCTCAGTGCCGCGGGAGCTGTGGTCGAGGGAGGGTGTACGTGCTGTGTTCGTTCTCCCCGCCTCTTGGACCTTGAGATGTGAACGTCGGAAGCGATAAATATCGATACTCCGACTATGAATGCTTGTACTGTGAATACTTTTCCGGTCATTGTACTTTACTTCCTGTGATGCTATGAGGATCAAGGTTGTGCTTTACTCGGTGAAGGTCCATCCGTTAATTAACGATACGCCCAAACAAAAACTAATTATAGCTTGTGTCCATCCAGCGCACGCTTGCTTAGCTGGACAACAATAATGATATTATTACGAACAATAAGCCTCTTGATTATTGAATATCATTTAAACACTCGCTTTTTTGTTAATTATATCTAGCTACACGGAAAATAATCATTTGGCAACCCTTATAATAGTTTTATTGGAACCTACAATCAAAATAAGTTATCGCGTCGATTTATTGTCACTGGATAGTATAAACATTGCGTTCACGTACACTGGCCATATCAGGAAATATATATATTTGGTAATCATATAAGAAAATTTTCAAGGAATTTAATGAATTTTATTGTGAATTTAGTAATTGAATTTGATAAAAAATATAATAGTAAACCATCGTCCGCTCAACGTCTTTGTTCATGAATAACACTCACACAAATGTTCTGTATTAAATACACAGCATGCTTGAAATCAGCCAAGGCTAAACATTACATAATCAATGTGTAAGCAATCGCAGGATGTGTTCGTAGGATGACTAATCGGCTATATTTGCCCAATATTAATGGTGGGTGGGGTAATCGTTTATATTTATATTTATTCCGTTTTGAATGAATGGTTAATAAATGAAAAATGAGGTGAATTATAAGTAAATATTTCATCATAAAATCATGTCACTAGCTGTTTAGAGCGCAGTATACTTATTGTAATTATTGGATATAATAAATACTATTATGACCGTAGCAACCATTATATAATTCTTCAATAATTTGCTAATAAATACAATATTATGCCAATTCGGTGCAGTAAACGCGCATACAACTGAACACAAGACGAACGATATTATAATTTATTTCTAACAAAATTACTAAGTAAAGTAATACATTTAATCTGATCAGTATAAAGGATTCTTATTAATTAGGTATATGAATGCGTGTAGATACCTGAGTGAAATTCGAACAGGAGGCGAACGAAATACTAAATTATTTGCCGAATGAGTTACAGAGATAATAAATTAAAATCCCTAAAAACGTTAAGACACTCGAATATAATACAAAGTAATACATTCATACGAAAAATATAAAATATATTTTTTAGTAGGAAAAAATAGCAGCAGCTCCAACTGCCTGCCTGGCACCGAGCGCAGCAGTCGGGACGGTCGCGCTATCGGCGCCGGAAGGTCGTTTATCGCCGTAACATCCGCCTGTTTTCTCGGTCATATGTTCGTCTAAGTTATTAAATTATCTTAAACAAATAATTATTAAGATAACTTACGCGTTTTTGCGCTCACTGTTGTTTTAAATCTTTTAAATTAAGACGTTACTTGAATGCCGGATCGATTTATGTTACGGGACACTTATCTATGCAGTAATGGACCTGCATTGTCACTGGATTCAACTGGCTCAATCCGGAGTGCAACTGGATTGAGCCAGTTGTTGCTGGATTAAACCTGCCGTCACCGGATAGAGCCAGTTATATGTGGATTCATTTGTCGCTATGGTTGTGTTATGTAGAGCAGACAGTCGTTATTTTTCAGAGAATTTACTCGAATAAAATGTTAAAAGTTAGTTATATGTATATTTCTACTTCTATATTTATACTCTCAATCGGATGATTCCACTCTATATTCAGCGTTTGAAGTGACCGATAGAATTTTTTCGGCCACGGAATAAAGATTACGGCGATTTTTGTACACGCATTCAGCGCGCAGATTTTTTATCTGTTAATAACTTCGCTTAACCACTTTACAGTAACAATTTGCGGACTAATAGTTTAAATATTTTACAGACTGTCAGTTTAAATATTTATTACAAACTATCAGTTTAAATATTTTGCAGCCTATCAGTTAAAATATTTTATACACTAATACTTTAAATGTTTTGCAGACTATTAGTTCAAATATTATTGCAGACCAATAGTACAAAATCCCAAATGGAACCCAAATTCCTCTTCGTCGTAGGTTTCATTTGGCTTAGTTTTATCCCAGACATCGAAGGCGGAAGCAGTGAAGAATCTGGGGAAATTTACGGAACTTTTTTGTTCATGCCGAGCGAATCTCATGGATTCAGTCAAGGCGAGCCTGATCGATCAATTCCAGTTGATTCACCAAGATTCCCAATACAAGGTAGCCGTGATTCAAACTCAGGATTCTTGAAATTATTGAAAAAATATTCAGTCTCTGTGGAAATTTGTGAAACAAAAAATCAAATACAAAACATTAATTTGCTTATAAAAATTTCTTCGTGAATTACTTTGTTGAATGAATATAATTAATTTCAGACAATTGAATGACCGTATATTTGTTTTAAGGCAAAATAAAATAAAAAATTGAGTAGCAGAAATATAAATTAATCAGAATATGCTGATATAATGGCTAAATCTTAATTATTCTGTTATTTTTCTTAAATGTTCGTACTATTTTTACGATGCAATAAAATTCCGAGGCAGCAAAGATGCGGTAAGCTCACTCCATAACAAGCATAAATGCGGACTGAACAAGCGTCTCCGTTACAGATAACACCGCGTCGCCGACACTGACAGGCGCAAGTGATAGAGACACGGCAGGATCGCCTGTGACAGACGGTGGAATCGCCTTGAGAGGCGCCTTCGATTTAACAGATTCTCAGACAGGACAGACGAGTGGACAAACAGCTGGACAGACGAGTGGACAAATGGCTGGACAGACGGGTGGACAAACGGCTGGACAGACGGGTGGACAAATGGCTGGACAGACGGGTGGACAAACGGCTGGACAGACGGGTGGACAAACAGTTGGACAGACTGGTGGACAGGCAACAGGTCAAACAGGTGCTGGACAGACGGGTGGACGGCCAATCGAACAGACGGCGGTGCAGACGGCTGGACAGACGAACAGGTCGCCCGTTTTCAACATCTGGGAGTTCGCTATGGTCCACGGCCCCAGGCGAGTTGTGGGATGCAGTGCAGTGGAATGCTGTGAAAATTTGTAAGCTGCAGTGAAGTGCTGTGAGATTCGATGTGGTGCATTTTATGGCAGTGTCGCAGTTCTGCACTGCAGTGCAAGAAGGCACGGTGATGGCAGTGCATGCAATGCAGATGTTTGTGAGGAGGTCGTGGAAGCGTTGTGGCAACTCTAAGATATTCGCAGCTTACTGAAACAAATGGGTGGTCTAGAGCAGTGGTTCCCAAAGTGGGCGGTTCCGCTCCCTTGGGGGGCGGCAGGCAGTCCTAAGTCGAAGTCAGAACTTCGAACGTTTGTTCAACGATTTGTACACAACACGTGAAGCACACGAGTCCCAGCGACGGGCTTTTTTCACCCAGATCTGAGTTTTTGAACCTCTCCTGGGTTTACGTCTCGGAATAATTTACGGCCAAACTCGCGGCCAACTTTCAAATACAATGATCAATGAATATCTCTCGAACTATTAGAAGCAGCTCGATGATACTTGGTACGCGTATTCATTAGGACCTAACGGTGATGTTTAGATCGTGATTTTTTTTTATTTCGCCTTCATTCGTGAGTTATTTGGCAATACGGGCCGATATTCCCAGTGATCAAGGAATTTCTTCTGAACCACTGAACTGATTTGAACAAAATTTTGAGTATACATTCCTAACTACTGAACAGTGAAGTTTAGCTCGTGAAAATTGTTTCGATTTTATCTTCGTTTGCGATTTTTTTCTATTTCGCCTTCATTCGTGATTTAAATAGCTATACCTGCTTAAATTTGAACGAAACTTCGTATATAAATACCTAACCTCAGCAAGGGTGATGTTTAGCTCGTGGCAATTTTTTTTTCGATTTTACCTTCGTTTGAGAGTTATACGGCTGTACGTATACGGCTCATGATTGAACCGGCGGTCGAAATGCCGGTCGTTACTCAGCATACCCGTATAACTCGTGAATGAAGGCAAAATAGAAAAAAATTGGCACGAGCTAAACATCACCGTTCAGAGGTTAGGTATTTATATACGAAGTTTCCTTCAAATCTGTTCAGTAGTTTAAAATAAATTTCTTGATCACAGCGAATTTAAGCGACAAATTTCCCGGCGATACGGGCCGAATAAAGAAGTGTAAAATCACGAATGATGGTGAAAAAAAACTCGCATACGAAGGGAAAATCGAGAAAATTTTCACGAACTGAAAATCACGGTTTGGTAGTTAAGAATTTATATTTAAAATTTCGTTCGAATCTGCTCAGTAGTTTGGTAGAAATTCTTTGATCACTGCGAATTTCGGCTCGTATCGCCATATAAGTCACGAATGAAGGGGAAATTTCAAAAATTGTCACGAGCTAAACATCACCGTTAGATACTAATGAATACTTGTCCCAAGTTTCATTGAGCTGCGTTCATTAGTTTGGGAGATATTACTTGATAATTGAATTTGGAGATTGGTGGTAACAGCGGCTGTGAGACCGGCCACGTGTCCGGCCGTAAATTCGTCCGAGACGTCCTGGGTTTCTAGTGCTGAAACAGTTAATACAGCTAAAAATATTTTGGTTTACTAAATGGAGTTCTATTTGTGAAATAAACATTTGTGTTTAATATTTCTCTTTTAAAATTGCAGCGTACTAAATATCAAGAAAGAGGCGTTTGTTTTTATACGTGTCTGGGGAGGGGGCGCTAGATTTTCACTGGCGAGTCAAAGGGGGCGCCAGCCTGAAAAAAGTTGGGAACAACTGGTCTAGAAACATTGTCTGGAGGCATGGTCTCGTGAAGACCTTCTACCACCTCTCAGCCACTGGTAGTAGGACAACCCTAGGACACAGCATTAATAGGATCCCTTGTTATACACTCCTTTAATAACGACAAATAGTTCCTCCAAACGCAGTTGTTCTACGCCAATAAGGCTATTTCAGCCTCTTTGGTTTGGCTATCATATGGGGTGTTAACAAAAATGGCCAAATCAAAAATTTCCCCACGAAGCCTTTGCCAAAAATTTCGCCACGAAACCTTGATTACGGTAACTTCACTCTTCTATTTTTCCTCAGGACGGGTGGTGCTCCGCCGGCCGGTTTCGCGGGTAGCAGCGTGGGGCTGAACCGCTGCGAGTGGGCCGTGGTCAGCTGCTGCGCCTCCTCCTCCCGCCGCAGGCAGCACGATTGCTTCGAAGGGTTGCACTGCAGCGGCGCCTGGTTCTCCAACCCTTGCGCCCCCCGTCTGCAGCAAGCAGTTTATGAACTGCTGTTGCAGCAGCGCCTTACCCAGGCTGGGTTGTAGGGGTGAGTAAGGCGCCTGCAGCAGATGGTTTATGAACTGCTGTTGCAGCAGCACCTCACCCAGGCTGGCTTGTAGGGGTGAGTAAGGCGCCTGCAGCAGATGGTTTATGAACTGCTGTTGCAGCAGCGCCTCACCCAGGCTGGGTTGTAGGGGTGAGTAAGGCGCCGGCAGCAGATGGTTTATGAACTGCTGTTGCAGCAGCGTCTCACCCAGGTGGGATTGTAGGAGTAGGTGAGTAAAGCGGCAGGCATACTGGAAGTTCACTCATAATGAATCATGAGTGGACGTGTAATTATGAGTCCGTATTCTTGATGGCGTAGGCCGAAGAGAGTGAGTAAGCATTGAATCTGCTTGTGTTGCGTTCCGTGCTCGGCTAGAGGCTTATATAAATATTCATTAATTCAACCTGTCAGCGAACTTCACTAAAAATGATTAAACTCCATTCATGGACCTAATATTCAGTCACCTACTCACCCTAACCAATCCTCTCCTAAGTCACGACTGTGAAAGTTATTGGTAAGTCATTGTTATGGTGTTACAGTTGGAGCGCATGGTAGATGCCAGCTTTGCCCAACTTCACATTCGATTCATATTCATTTCCTTGGGTAAGAACCCTGAAGGGAATAGCATCCTAAGAAGTCAACTTCTTAAGACCAAAACGCCGGTTGTCCACAGCCACAACTTTATTAAGCATGCTAAAGGTCAGCATGGCCATACTGCATCTAGCCAAACCTCTTCCAGCCTAACCTCTTCTGGCCTCGCCTACACAAGTTGCAACGTTTCTCCATCCAAAATAAACCTGAGCGGATGTCCCCTAACCTCATTGGCTTCAGGAAGTTAGAAAGGCAGTTTAAGTAAGCTGATGGGTCCATTAATTGGTTGAAAGAAAGCTGTGAGCCGAGAAACCATGAAGAGTCTAGGCCAGAAGAGGTTAGGCCGGATTCGGAACTACCGGTTTATGAGCGAGCATGCTCAAGTATTGGCTGATGGCCTACGGAAATGTTATTTCTAAACGGTGTGTACTGGGCTGGATTACGGTGCTCCAGCGTAGAACGCGGCTTCTAGATCTGTGGCTGAGTGTAGTTAATGCATGATGAGGCTGGGCGTTATCACCAGGGCTTATTCAAGAGTTAAATTTGTGACCTATGGCTGCGCCCCCTTAAAGTTCAGCTTGGTGCGGTCGAAGGTTTTTTTGTGCGGTTTTTTTGTGGAAATACGCTTCAGATGTTTACCTTATCAAATTTTTACAAAATTAATATACTAAAAATACGAATTTTATTTCTGTTGCCAAAGTTTTCCTTTTTGTGGGCTTTATTAATACGAACTTTTCTCATGAAGAAAAACTTGGAGGGGAGTGGCGTTTACATGAGTGTTTAAAATTGTCACTGATTTATACCTATCCGGGAAGTTAAGATGAGGAAATGAATCTTGATCTATAAAAAAATTTCCATTCTTTTATGCAAAAAAGCTGAATTCTTCCTAATCAACCTACAGTGGGCGAGGATTAGTACGCTGTATGAAGGATTTTGTTAATGTGTTATAATAATACGTCTTGGGGAGAGTAGAGTGTGTGGCGTCAACGTTTTGATAGGCCCATTGATAAGAAAAATGTTCGGCATCGTGGCCCATTTAATGAGCCATACTGTGCTAGAAGTGCACGTCATTAAGGTCGTAATATCTCGCCAATTGCCCCTCAGAAATTGTGAGGCATCAATTTAATAACAGATTATATAGTGTGTATAGCCTCTGCGGAGTGTATGTAGTTGTGCAGAGTGTCTGGAGAATTAACGTTTTCCGTATAAAATGTGTAGACGTTTTTTGGCGCAGTGCAGCATGTTGTGCTCTGCATGTGGCATCGCTCACATATGTGGAGATGGTGGGAATGTTTACTCATGCTAAATTCTGTTATCTTTTGCACATGCGATAATAAACATTAGGTTGACGATAAGTTACATTCTTACGATAACGTTTAATGACACGACAAAATACGAGAAAGAAATAAAAATACAACATTTACAAACACAAATTTTTAACAACTTTACCTCGAGCAGTTTTTTCAACGTCCACACATGCTTTTTACATCAAATCTTGCCGTTTTTATTACATCTATCCATGCAATTGTGATGATGACGTCATAGCATGTGTTATGCGGTTGACTGCGTCTGATTTGTTCTTGTCAACTTTCACTCTACTTTTTTAGAATAATGTCCACTAAATTTCTTGAACATTATATTCATGCTGCTTCTAAGATATTTTAAGGTACGACAGTAATTCTTATCTTTAAGACAGCGATCAATCCATTTTTTTATATTTTTCTACACATTTAAGCGACAACTTTTAATTCGCACCCTAATTAAGCCCGTACGTTCACTCTAAGGTGAAGACATCGTACACTCAAACTACTTATGCATTAAAGTTTATGCAAGCAAAACGACATGGACGCGTTTAGGACATGTCGTAAGTTTTACGACAAAAGCCACACTCACGAAGACTGGCACGTCGTAAATCCTTGACAGCGGCGACTGTTTTCTTACCCATGTTGTCGTACCCCTAGTCGTAACTTTCCTGAGCTGCGTCGTACGTTAGGGCCAGCCGCAGTGTCGTAAATCGAACTTCAGAAATGATTTTTTTAGATTAAAAGTTAAAATGTCCTTGTAAATCACGAGTAATAATAAATATCATAATACAATTACGTAAATGAGGTCAATAATTTTCCTGTTGGAACGTCCTCAATTTCACTGCACGACTTTCAATAATTATAGCATTAGTTAAACACAGTAAATAACGTCGTATAATATATGAGTGTAAACTAAGTTTGACTTGACTCTGATTTTGATTTTACTGGTCGATATTTTTATTTTACAACATAAATATGACAAACAAAATGCCAGTTGCTGTTTTCAAAGTTAAGATCTATATATAAAAGGCATGAAAACAGATCGAAATAATCTAACCGAAAAAATGACTTAAATCATTCCATCTTTTACCCTCCGAAAAACTATTCAGGTTTGCAGCGGTCAATATTGAAATATTACATGCAAGCCTCCGAAGACTTTCAATCTAACATTATTTCCTTTGAATGATTTATCCCTATACATTGAAAATTTCATAATTCATAATTTAAATACGACAAGTGAACACAGAATCCTGTCTTCACTTCCTGTCAATGTCTTAAATGTTGTCTAAAAAATTCTAAGAACGCTTCGATCTTTTATTTAAATGGTCTTTAACTAAAAAATAATAATCGAGTTATAACATGAACGTTTCAACTGAAATTCAAAATTTGTTTACATCGTTGGAACCCAACGGAAATTCACTGTTTCATGAATTTCTCAGGCGATCCCGCAAAATTTCTAAATGTTTGCATTCGATGTAATGTCTATACATTACGTTTTTAAACATGCCCGCACATAATGTTAACTCGAATATTGCATTATTCCAAGTAATTTTTTATGATATTCTGCATTTGATTTTTATACATGATGTAGGAGCATGTATACGAAATTTTCGTAAAATTAATTCGACAGAATTCGTATCTAATCCAAATCTCAATTACAGATCGAGTTTCCCTGACACAAAGACGAAAAAAATCTCTCGTTACGTCGGGTGAATTTTTATTAAAGCTTTATTTTATTCGCTTGTATCCGACGCCTGCGCCTCGATTTATGAACTTGATTTTTGCTGGGCACTTTTGAAGGGGTGTTATCTGCCGCTCACTGCCCCGAAAACCTTCAATTTCATTTAAAATACAACCCAGTTTAATAATTATTTTTTTCTGAATCCATCTTTGCAGAATGTGCCATCAAATTCAAGCTTATTACGATTTTAATTCAAATGGTTTTTCAGATTACGTAAATTACAAGCGAGGAGCGTCGTAGTCACACATCCTCCCATACCCGCCGCTCACGCACCACTGCCACCTGTGGCAAGTCTCAGGCGCACCGCCCGCCGCCACCTGTGGCAAGTCGCGCAACAGGCAGCAACGGATAACATTTTGTCGAGGATTTTCAGGCGATCTTCGGGAATGAATTTAGAGGTTTTTGAGCGTACTTGTCTTCCGATTTTGCTGTTTGGTTGCCTTATTCGCCTTTACAAACAAAACTATTTTGACCACAACTGAGTATTTACTTCTATAAATACATCCTATCTAATGTCGCTTGAACGGAATTGATGAAATGTTGGGGGTTCATTATGGATTTACATTTACACATTTAGAAAATTCATGTACAATATTGTATCATTACATACATCAGAAGAGAAGACCAGATGCTATAATTGATGTGGGGTAAGTAAGTATGTCTGTTAATGAATCAGCATGAATCCTTTGTACACGAGAAGGCTGAAAACATTTCTCGATTTCAGCGATATTTCTTGAATTATCAATAATCTAATTCGTTCAGAATTAATATTTTCGTGTGCATTGCTCCTCCTGAAGCTGTATTAGCACTATGAGTGAAAGTACACATTTGTAAACATGAGTTGTAAAGTCTCGGCTTGTAAAACAGGTGCTTGGGCATGTGTTATCTTGACCAACAATTTAGGTAAGAATAGCATTATAAATGTACGGACATATACGTCAGCATGGTCACTGAATGGCGAGCTAACAAGGCTGGTAGGAACAGCATTATTAATTTAATGACGCAGCATGGGCAGTGAAATCATGAAAAGAGTTAAATCTATAAGGAAATTATGGAAATTTAATTAATTAAGGGAAATACTAGCTTTATTGCTAGTATTTCCCATTTAAAAAAGCTGCTGAGCTATTCTATCGCATTGACTGCTTATCACTATTTTACATTAATACAAATCAAGAATTTTTGTACAAAATGAAACAATATTTCATTGTCGCTCAGTCTTTATAGGAAAGAAATGAAATAAAATTTCACTTAACCAAATAATATTTCCATATTTTTTCTTGCGTGAGTTAATTTACCTTTTCAGTTAATTAAGCTAATAATATAATCAATCGGCACTAAAGATTAAGTAGCTGTCGTCAGTCGACGCAGCTGTGGATAACAATGGCGTATAGGCATGTTTTTGACTGAAAAATATGCAAATATTTCTTTCTAACTTGGCTCAGTCGAACTGCACTCTTTTTAGCGCATTTTCTCATTTATGGAAAAAATGCACTATTGTGCTCGCCATGTCTGTCTGTCTGTCCGTCCGTCCGTGAAGTTTTCGTCGACGAGAAAATGCGCTCTCTGTCACTCACTGCAGTAAGTACTGAGTTATATTTTTTAATCTGTACGTGCAAAATGCTTTGTGTTTCTTAGTTTTTGGAATTGGCCCATACGAATAGCATTATGTTTTTCATCTTTACAAATTAGCACTTACGAATTGCATAGTGTTTTATCGTTATAAACTTCCAATTGCAAAATTGAACTGTGTTTTTTATCTTTACAAGTTGGCAATTTCAAATTGCATTGTGTTTTTATCTTATAAATTGGCAATATGAATTGCATTGCGTTTCTATCTCTATAAGTTGACAAATTGGCAATTATGAATTTTACTGTGTTTTTTTATCTTTATAAATTGGCAATTACAAATTGCTTTGTGTTTTTTATCTTTATAAATTGGCAATTACAAATTGCATGCGTTTTTTATCTTTATAAATTTGCAATTACGAATTGCATTGTGTTTTTTATGTTTATAAATTGGCAATTACAAATTGCATTGTGTTTTTTCATCGTCATAAATTGGCCCATACGAATTGCACAGTGTTTTTAATTTATCCTCTATAAATTAGCACAGGCGGTTACCGCTGCGGCTCACAGCGAAAGCGATATCATTTTAGTTCATTTCTCCCCCCCGAGTTGCCGCGAGGTTTTATTCAATGTCCAGGGCCTGAACTTTCAAAAAAAGTTAAGAGATCGTAAGTTCATCAGCCAATCATTGACGGCCTTTCAAGCAAAATCCACCAATCATAGACAAGAAAATAGACAAGAAAATAGAGCGTAAGTACTTACGTTCACTTAATCATAGACAAGAAAATAGAGCGTAAGTACTTACGTTCACTTAGCCAGTTATGAAAGTATGGCCCCAGCTTATGATAATGTTGGTATCCATGATACCTGACTGGCGTACTCATACCACCCTCGAGTATTGCTGTAACTTTTTCGCAGCGGATTTATAATCAATAAACAATGTAAATAAATCCATTACTTGATCGAGTTAGCGAGTCCATTTTTCACAACCAAAATGTAATATAAGTTTAATAATAATATAATATTATTATAATAACATGTGATGATAATATTTTAGTCATCAACCAATACATAACATTGATCCTATAGACTCACAGAGCATTCAGGCATGTCAGACACAAAACCACAGTAAAAACACGGAGAAAAACACATTCATGTTCTATATTCGTAGATAGAAAAATATAGGAGCTACAATGAAGTGAATAAAGTTTCATTTTTATATCCTTTTAAATTATTCCCAAATTTTTCGTTATTGGATGTAGAATGAATTCTGACGCTTCATGTAAAGTGAGCTATAATTCAAAAGCAAAGAACAATCACCGTGTAATGCTAACTTGGTGCTCTAAGGGATATATATAAGTCACCTAATAATTGTGTGTTAACTCGGGCAATTTAATCTCTCAACTGATCTTCGAGTCACCGACATGTGGAACAGCCTCCCCGATGACATCGTTGGCGCTCCAAGTATGAACGCGTTCAAGAACAGACTAGATAAAGCTATGGAAAAATATATGTTCAGATTTGAAATGCCTAGCACCTTATCGAACCCGGTTGAAGTCTTGTAGCAACTTCAAACTATCGAAAGTCATGAAAAGATCCGGTCAAATGACACGAGTTTAGATCTATGAACAAGTCACAAAAAGTACAAGAATCGGTGACAGGCCACATCAGGCCTACGCTTCAGCGCCGACAACGCTATGCTATGCTTACATATACATGGTTTACAAGCTGGTTGAGAAGGTTTGGGTCCTTTTACCCTATTAAATCTATCTCGCTATCTTGTAAGACATCATTTAAAAGTTCAGCTCGTGAACCTTAATTCTTCGAATTTTCCCTGTTGTTTATTTATTGTTTGGTGTTGAACAGGCATAAGTTATAGTCGTCTCTAAATAGCATAAGTCTCTGATTCTCATAGCTTTTGTAAACCGGTGATATATATCGTTTGTACCTAAGCGAAGCAGCGATATTTTACCGTATATACAATACACGGTAATAAAAATGGTACTGAAATTTATGAACAATACGTGCAAATCTTACTTTAAAGCTAAGACTTACGCAGTTTTGTCTTGCAAGTAAGTACTCGAACTTACTTTCGAGTCGTTCGACTCGAAAATGAAACAAATTTGTTAAACTATCATTCCCAAACTAAGATATAGATTAGATCAGGCTAATACGTTTTCGGCTTTGTTCAATTTCGATCTGTAGAAAATGGCATACAGATGGTAAACTAACTTATTTTTGGGGATATTCTAGCAGCCAAAATCTCTCAATGTCATGATACCTGCCGTTAGAATTATGACACATTGTAATCATTAATTCTATGAATTTCGAAGCAAATAAATTTTTCTAACAATTGTTATTTCGTAGACAAAACAGCAAGAAAATAAGTCATGTAGGAACCGTTCCGCTTGAAAATTTGGCTGCAAAATATAACATTCAGCCGGAACCTTGAACTCTAGCGTATTAAAACACTTATCTTTATTTTCACTTCTTGTTTGTTTGTCTGTTACAAATCTCATAATCGATATTTAACACACTTCTACTTGTCCAATCGATCCGAAAATGTGCATACTTGTGTAAAGCCGGAGACAATGCATGAATCAATTGACCGAATAATTAAAGTTGAAAAAATATATATTAAATAAAATTTCACAAACAATTTTTAATAAGAAAAATAAGAAATTCATTGCACAGGTGTAACAGGGGAGACACTGGCCTCTTTAGAAGTGTTGTCTTTAAAAAGTACTTTTTAAACGCTTATTATTCATGTACGGTCAAATATACAATTTGTTTCCATATCCTCAGTTTTTCGCCTCCAGAAGAAGGGCAAATCTCAACTTCCTGACTTCCCGTCTTCCTGAGGTAGACGTTCTTATGGCTCTGAGGTAGAGGTGCGCACCAGCTTCTGGGCAGGGTGGCCCAGTGGTTACAGTTCAGAGTACCAAGATTGGCGCAGAGAGGCGCGGGTTCGATCCCAGCTCTGTGCGCCAGTTTCTGGTCAGAATCGGCGAGGAGGCTGGGCGGTTAAGCACAGCAGAATTGAAGCAGTGAGTTGCGAGTTCGAAACCGCAAAATGCTGTGAATGTTCTGTGATGTTAAGAATCGGCGACAGGCCTAAGTCCTCATAAACTCGGAAACCACTTTACTATATTATATTATATTAATTATATCATAAATTATCTCCTCCTAGGCAAATGCTGCAATCTACTTCTACTGCTATTAGTACGAGTGTCAACCGCACAACGACCGAAATATCTTTTTTTGATGCGGCTAGTGAATCAGTGAATTATAGGCGCGTTAGAAGAACAGGCTTGATAAAGTAATGCAGCCGTAAATGTTCAGCTTTGAAGTGCTTATAGCGACCAATGGACTAGATAAAAAAGAAAAGTCCTGTAGCTATCCAATTCTACGTAATTTTTGATCTGGTCATAATGCCAGTATTTTTCTCTCCTGCGAAAAAGTTATAAAAAGTACATGAATCAGCGACAGGCCAAACAAACCTATTATTAAGCGCCTTCACTAACATTACTACCACCACTTGTCCTATTGTGTGAATCAACCAAAATTCTTCCCAATAATAATGCATCGCAAAATTTATTTAGAAATAAAAACTGAAGCATGTTTGCTAATTTAGAATTTAGGACAGCCCCTATATACAATATCCCGACACGATAAGTATCCTGGATACGCGCCCCAACAGCCCCTATATACAATATCCCGACATATATACAATATCACTTTCTTCACAAGGGCACAAATATCATTTCTGTCCTTGCGTGGGTCAATCTGACCCATTTTGGCCCGGCAGCAATGCGTATCAGTGCTACGTGCAGAGAGTTTGTCACTATTTATACAATTTTACCCATTCATTTCCCGTAGTGTACCGTGCGCGATGTCTCCGCCCGTGTCCCGTATTGCGAAGCTCTGACCATACCCGCTCTCCTTGGCATGGTGCCCAAGTCTCCGTCTGTGCCCATTAGATCATCTGTTTTACCATTAGATAATCCGCGCCCATTAGGTAATCTGTTGCACCCATTAGATAATACCCATTAAATAATCTCTTTTACCCATTAGATCAACCGTACCCATTTGATCATCTGTTGTACTCATTAGATCACTGTTGTACCCATTAAATAATCCGTGCCCATTAGATCACTGTTGTACCCATTAAATAATCCGTGCCCATTGGATAATCCGTGCCCATTACCTCATCTGTTGTACCCATTAGATAATCTGTTGTACCCATTAGATAATCTGTTGCACCCATTAGATAATCTGTTGCACCCATTAGATAATCTGTTGCACCCATTAGATAATCTGTTGCACCCATTAGATAATCTGTTGCACCCATTAGATAATCTGTTGTACCCATTAGATAATCTGTTGTACCCATTAGATAATCTGTTGTACCCATTAGATAATCTGTTGTACCCATTAGATAATCTGTTGTACCCATTAGAGCATCTGTTGTACCCATTAGATCATCTTTTGTACCCATTAGATCATCTTTTGTACCCATTAGATCATCTGAGCCTAATTTCTTGGTTTAAGTATTTGACGTTTTTTGCAATAATTTTTCTTTTCTTACCAAGACGAATTATTCAGCAACGATGTCATGGATTAAAATATTATTTTTTACAGTTGCTGTGATAATTAATGTTTGTGATCATTTATATAATATATATCATATTGACATATTTTGTAGGCATGACGGTGGTGACTTGCACCGAAATGACTATTATGGATCAATAAATCTGTATTCTATTTTGATACAATTTATACAACAATATTTGCACTTTAATTTCATAATTAAGTTTTTCATAATTACGTCAAATGCTCAAAAAATGTTGCCTTTAATCTTCACTTATTTCGCAGGTCAAGATTTTCCCGCACATTTGGCAGCCGTCTGGCCAGTGCGCCACTGGCGGTGGTG